GTTTTATTCACAGGACACTGTATTTATGGGATTCCCCATGCAAGGGGTTTCCCTACTGACATTACAGGATTTGTACAGTAGGGGACTACATGGGGACCTGCCCAACACATACATTTCTCCCATCATGCACTGCTGGACGAGAGGGATACTCCCACTGGAATATACAGTTAATGGGATTATCCCTCCGTGCAGCAGAATTTACATTTTACATGAAAATCCATAACTTCAATAATATTCACTTGTTTTACACAAATGGACGTTTGGTAGATAGCTGGAGGCTGAGCGCATAGTTCGTGGAAATACCGCTCAGCTCCCAGTCTAACTAACCGAACGCCGTACGAAATACACATTATTTCCAACATACGGTTAAAATAGCGATTGATATTAGGGGAACAAACTACCGAATGGCCGGCGGCCGGGGCTCACGAACGGCCTGGAAGTCCAGCGGGGTTCGCGCCGTCGAGTAGCCGTTTTTAGTTCCAGGCGCTCGACGGCAAAACCCCGCTGGGCTAACAAAGGAATCAAGATGGCCAACCGCCGCGTGGTCGGTAGCCGAACGACGGCCACCTAAGGAAGTCTTTAACTACCGATTGCAACATTGTTAATGAGCGCCACACGACCTCCTGTGTGTGGTCGACCGTTCGGTAGGTCATTCGTTTCACGAACCGTGTTTAAACTCACTGTTCGTGAAACTGCATAGGCAATGCTGGGTTTCACGTATTACAAGCATACGAACGCTCTTGTTCGCATGAACGCCCCATACTACATTACACTTGGTTCTCACAGCCAGCAAACCTTATGCAATAGTCTTAAGTGGGTAGGTTTGCCACAGTTATCATATCCCCTCTCAGGCGCCGTTTTTCCAAACTAAACAGATTTAATTTTTTTAACCTTTCTTCATAGCTAAAATGCTCCATTACTTTTATCAATTTTGTAGCTCGTCTCTGGACTTTTTCTAGTGCCATGATATCTTTCTTTAGAACAGGCGCCCAAAATTGCACAGCATATTCAAGGTGTGGTCTTACCAGCAATTTATAAAGAGGCAAAATTATGTTTTCATCACGAGAATTTATGCCCCTATTTATACATGACAAAACCTTACTGGCCTTAGCAACTGCAGATTGACATTGCATATTGCTGCCTAATTTGTTGTCTATAACAATTCCCAAATCCTTCTCGTGTGTGGTTATCCCTAATTCACTACCATTTAGTGTGTAAATTGCTTGTGCATTCTTAACCCCGAAGTGCATAACTTTGCATTTCTCTATGTTAAATTTAATCTGCCATTTTAGTGCCCAGTCCCCCAATCTATCCAAATCCCTCTGCAGCAAAGCAATATCCTGCTCACATTTTATTACTTTACAAAGTTTTGTGTCATCTGCAAACACTGATACATGGCTTTCAATGCCTATTTCAAGATCATTTATGAATATGTTAAATAGAAGAGTCCCAAAACAGAACCCCGAGGGACACCACTTACCACTTTTGTCCAGCCTGAAAATTTACCATTAATGACAACTCGTTGTACTCTATCCTTAAGCCAATGTTCTACCCAAGAACAAGAATATTCATCTAGACCAATTTCTTTTAGTTTGAAGACTAACCTATTGTGAGGAACTGTATCAAATGCCTTTGCAAAATCCTAGTAGATCACATCCACTGCAACACCCTGATCTATACTTCTACTGACTTCGTAGAATGCAATTAGGTTAGGTTGACATGACCTATGTTTCATAAAACCATGCTGATTATTGCTAATAAAGTTCTTCCCAATGAATTCCTGAATATTATCCCTTAATAGCCCTTCAAATATTTTCCCAGTTACAGAAGATAAGCTCACAGGTCTATAATTTCCAGGCAAGGATTTTGAACCCTTTTTAAATATAGGAGCATCATCTGCCTTCCTCCAATCCTCCGGTACAGCACCTAAAACAAAGGAATTTTGAAAAATTAAATACAGAGGTTCACTTATTTCCCCACTTAGCTCCTTAAGTACTCGTGGGTGAATACAGTCAGGCCCCGGAGCTTTATTTACATAAATTTTCTTTAATAGCTGTAGCACCTTGTCTCGAGTTATCCAATCACAAGTTAGACTGTTAAACCAGGGCTTGACAAATTTGCTTGGAACCTAAATGCCAGCTAAAAACAGTTAGGAGGCAAGTTGTTTGTTTTGTGTGTGTTTTTTTTTTTTTTTTAAATAATTAAGTTTCATTTTCAACAACAAAAATACAATTCATAAAAAAGGACACTTTTCACCAGAACAACTACAGCTTAAAGTAACACTATAGGGCCAGGCACACAAACATGTATTCCTGACCCTATAGTGGCAAAACACTAGCCAGCCTCTCCCTCCCCCCAGTCTTACTCTGGTAAATATAGTAAAATCTTACCTTTACTATAGTCTGGCAGGGCTGGTGCTATCCATGATCTGCCCCCTTCGCTATCATCAGAAGTGAAAATCTCAGCCAATTCTGATGATTTCAGCCAAGGAAGTGGGCTGGGGGGTTGAATCAATGCATATCTATGATGAAAGTCCAGTGCCTGCATGCAGAGGGTGGAGACACTGAAACTGCCCCAGGAAGCACCTCTAGTAGACATCTGAGAGGTAGCCACTGGAGGTGTCCTTAGGCTGTAATGTAAATATTGCCTTTTCTCTGAAAAGACACTCTTTACAGCAAAAGGCCTGCAGGGACCAACTTTACTCAACAGTACAACTACATTAAGTAACTACATTACCACATTTAGCATCTCTCTGCATGGAGGCACCGAAATAATCTCCATAGAGTTGCATGGATTCAATGCATCTCTATGAGCAGATGCTGATTGATGCAGCGGGGCATTTCCCTATGGGAAAGAATTGGCCTGGCTGAGATTACCAAGTTTGAACCAAAAAAATGTTAGTTCAAACACCTTTCCCATGTGATTGGAGGGGAGGAGGTCACCTAAACAGACAGTCACGTTTTCTCATACACTGACCTTTGGGAGAGCAGCAGTGGATCCTATTCCTGGGGCCCAGTGCAGCTGATTGATCCTGTAATCTGTTCCCTCATGCACTGTTGAGTGATGCAGGCCAGAGATGACCTCATATTCTGGAACCCACTGCACTGTGTGGGAGGGAGCAGAGCAGGAACCCACTGCATGGTGCAAGAGGGAGCAGAGCAGGAACCCACTGCATGGTGCAAGAGGGAGCAGAGCAGGAAGCTCCCTTGTGCTTTGAGGCTATTAGATCATCAAAGTACGCCCTTACAATCTGGGAGGGACAGAATACTTTACACTCTGATCGTCATCTGAGGACCTGCTTGACAAACCAATCAGCTAATTCAGGTCATGTGGATCATGGTGATAAGGCAGGTCCTCCAATATATAAATCATATGTAAAATTTCATTATCAGTGTATTTTATATATTAGTGTATATTGCATCTTTTCTGCTGAACTCCCGTCCCTTCTCAGACTTTCACCCAGTCTCCACTCCAACACGCAAAAAATAATAATTGAAAACTCACTTCTTCGGGAGAGCGTATCAATTACACTGTTAGCAGGTTTTCACCTCTCCCCTTGACTCCTCTCCTGCCACGGTCAAAAATAAAACCTACTAAGCCCTCAGTGAATACTTTTCGAACAACCTAGTTCGTACCCCTACTTATACCCTTTGTGTCACTATACCCCACTCCCTCTAGCATGTAAGCGCATTGAGCAGGGCCCTCAACCCCTCTGTTCCTGTGTGTCGACTTGCCTGGTTACTATTACGTCTATTAGTCCATCCATTGTACGGCACTATATAAATAATACATTTGTCACAGGAAAGCATTGAATTCAATGCTTTTTTATTATTATTTTTTTTTTTAATCTGAGCTGCGTTTGGTCACGGCTGGATTTCACTGGTATTGCAAAGCAGGGGTAGGCATCCTTTACCACTCCATTTTTTTTTACCTTGCACGTTTAAAACTACAGGGCCACTGCACCCAGATCACTTCATTAAGATGAAGTGGTCTGGGAGACATTAGGGGTCCTTTAGTCTACAGTGAGCAACCATTCAGAATGGTGCAGCAGTATCTGAGCAGAGCAATCAGCTGACACTCTCAGCCAATAAATCCTGCACAACTCAGGTCACCATAACTACCAAAGTAACCTATAGTTGTTATGCTGTTTGGAGTGTTCCTTTAACCCCTTAAGGACACATGACATGTGTGACATGTCATGATTCCCTTTTATTCCAGAAGCTTGGTCCTTAAGGGGTTAAAGGGTTACAACAATTTTAATTATTTTTTTAAATGAATAAAGCCTTTGATCCGGCTTCCAAAGTCATACGTGCTGGAGATGAAACTAGGACAAAAGTGCAAATATCCCGATGTGTGTTTCAAGTAGCAAAATCGCTGCACATACAGACTACCACCATAACCACTTCTAAAAGAAGTGGTCATGGTGGTTAGAATAACCCTTAAAATCACTTTGTGTGTACAACTCCAGCCATATAGTTCATGGCTGTCTCTCACACGGACTCAAGATTTAAAAATAAAAAAAATAAAGTTTACTTTTCACAGCACAGTGTGTTTACTTTCAAAGTTAGTTTTTTTTCTTCTTCCTATTTATTAAACTCAACTCACATGCAAGAGACCGTTGTAGGCTCCAGCAGTCAGATCGAGTAATAAATAAATAAATTCTCAAACACATGGTGCAATAAGAAAAAATAAAAATGTAGCCTCAGGAACTGTCGGGAGACTGTGCGAGTCTCAGACAAGGGAGAAGTGACTAGACCTGCATAAACAAAGTGCTTTATCTCCTTAATTACAGAATGTGTGTGTTGATCATGCCCCTGCAGTCCCACTTCATTCAGTTAGTTATTTTGGTGCTTAGAATGTCTATTTAAACACAGAATCTTGTCCGGTTTCATTTTTCGGTTTGAGTAAATGCTCAATATTTTTTCCATTTATAGCCTTTTACAGAATGCCAGAAAATGTATAATTGGGAAGGCACATGTTTAATAAAAATAATTACAATACTCCAGTCATGTGTTACAAAAACCACACTCAACTGTACCACATTCATATGTATATGTGAAAATGTACGGATAAGACATAACACAGAATTTAATTTCAGTTTCACAGAAACCTATTTATTACAGCATATATATATATAAAAAAAGAAATTATGCATTTAGATATTATAGTATTCATATCAACTGCAAAATAAGTTATAAAACTCAAAAGATGAAATGGTTTTCTGTGTCCAATAGGTAAAGTTATATGCCCAGGGAGAGGAAACGGCTTGCAAAGTTTCAGCCAGCTGTCTAAAGTGAAAGCTTGCACAAAACGCGTCGTTTATTTCCTGAAACTCACAGCTGAAAACAAAATTCATAATTTCCCTCCTTAAAAATGTCTTGAATACCAAGAAATGTAATCTGAGCCTGAAACCAGGTATACATATATTATATTAACAAAAAAAAAAATTTAAAAAAAAATCAACAATGTTGAACACAAAGATCAAAAGAAATGCATAGCCTTCACACTGTATAAAAGAAAATCTATAATAAAAATATTCATTTTTGTGCAAACACTTGAAAGTATTAAAAAAAAAAAAATATTTACACAAGTCAAATTATAGAGAGAAATATGTAGAAATACAAAAAAAATAAAAAGGAAAACAGGGGAGAGGCAATGTATAAAGAGCAGGTGAAAAATCTCAATATCAAAAATTATGACAATGTATAATTTGAAGAGCACTTAGCGCTGCAACGTACCAAGGGGTATGTATACATGCGTGCCCACAGATCATCAATATTGAAAAAAGTATAGTTATAAACTTACAGCTTCAATACAATGGGCCCAATGACTTCACAATCTGATTCTTGCTCGTCAATGTGCCTATAAATGTGTTTAAAAAGGAACAATGTGACAATGGCATTCCATTGTATCAATTCCATAGTATCTGCACAGCAAACCCTTAATTCCCCAAAAATTGCTAGATTTTGTAATTTTAACGCTGAGCCACATAGTCACCATCTTTCAATCTGCAAGTGTCAATCCTTAACCTAAATGACCATAGATTCATGCACTGCAATTCATTGTTTAGTAAATAAACCATATAGTGTGTACACTGACTGAACATAGTGGATTTTAGAAAATATATATGCATTGTTGGGCCAAGGACACACTGCATATTATAAACTGATAATTAACAGTATTTAGGTGGACTGGAAGGCTCAGATCCAGGTATTAGTAATAGTAAAAAAGATTTAACAATGAGAAGTTCTTTCAAAGAAACATTCCAAGTACCATAACCACTACAGCATGTTCTGGTGGTTATAGTGCTCGGAGTGCCCATGTGCCATTCCCCCAGTGCAAGTAGTTTACCAACAGTTTGACTTCTTGCCAGAGTCTGCCAGGCACCTGTATGAACAGCCGGAAGCTCCGGCGTCAGCTGATTGCTCTCAGCCAATGAGTTACACCCCACTCATTCTGGCAGTGAATGGCGCAGGCACCAGACTCAAGGTAAGCGTAGCCACTTACACTGGTGGAATGCCAGGGCTCTCTTGGCACCATAACTACAGTATGCTGCAATTTTTATGGTGCTTGGACTGTTCCCGTAGCACAGTACAAATATGCCAATTCATGAATTCCACATGTGGAAACAAACATAATCTTGACAAAAATCTAGTAAGCATTCCTCTGAGTAAATCCTACTGGGTTTAGGAGACATAGTATTACACACAGCTAAATGCCATTTAAAAGGGTAGATCTACTACAAACATAATGACGTATGTTTGGAGTACCTCTACAAAAACATCATTTATGTCATGACAAGCCTGGCAAGTTATTTGCTATATATTGTATTCAGAAAAAGCTGCCGGGTTTTTTACAGGACTCACAAGGCTTATTTGGGTAGTTCATTTTTCTTTCAGTTCTGTGCTTCTTTAGTTTACTTTGTTTTTGTTTTTTTTATTAAAAAACAAACAAAAAAACATTTTCAAAATGCAGCACGACAATTTGACCTGCTTCATAAAAATCTACTAGATTTTCAGTAAAAACAAAAAAAAACGACATTTGCAAGTCCCTGAATAGTAAACATCCATCCCTACCGTGACATTTAGTTATGACTGGTCTAATAACCATCACTAATTTTTCTGTTCTAAATGGTAACTGGTACACCATTCACAAATTTGATACTGCATCATCAACTAACCCACAAAGAATTTAAAGACAATGTTTCCAGGTTTTACAAAACTACACCGACAGACCGACAGCTGAATTTAGTTATTCACTGGACAAACCAAACTTCTACAAAGAACTCGAGTTTGTGAATTTTAAACATCACAAAGGTTTTCTACCACATTAACGAACAGCAAAAAGCAAACATTTTGTATTTCCATATAATATATATAAAAAAACAAGGTTACAAATAAAAAACCCAAAACCAACAAGTCACAGAAAAGGCATAAACCACTTGTTTGCAATTAGGAGTGGGAAAAAAAAGCCAATTCTGAAGGCTCAATTGGTGGCACGTAGGCCAAGTAATAATAGAGTGACAATACGAGGCTCATTCTTCAAGGGAGGCCCACATGCAAGGGACTGAAAATAATGTTAGTGCATGGTTTAAGAAAACTATTTGTCCCACAAAATGTACTATCCACATAACAAATGACTGACACTATAAGGGGTGCAAACTTTCAAACATCCAAGCTCTGAGGAACAAGGTGCTACTTGACAAAATTATCTGAAGAAAATTGTGTTAACCGAAAGTCATTCTAACTCCTGCAAGCAGCAATTGTTCTATAGTGTCATAAGGCTGCATTCTCTATTATGTGATTGTTCTCTAATAAATATCTCTTCACAGCAAATGCTGTACACATTGCCCCAATTAAAATTAACTCTGGGGCCAGACGTCAGGCTTTGAACTGTAAAAATAATTTGCAGTGTTTGTTGCCAAAAGAAAATAAAGTGGGTGCTGTTTTCATTAAGGAGTCAGGTGTGATAAAAGCATAATGTGCTGGATGTGAAGTAACTAGTATGTGGGTTTTGTGGGTGAGAGGAGTGTATTTTGGAGGCTGTGTGTCATGAGATGTTGAAGTAATTCTATGATTGAAGGTGGATCTTTATAGACCAACATCTCATGTGATAAACTGGCCCAGTAAAACTCTTTCCAGAGTTATTAATTTACAATTCAGATATAAATGGCTGCTATAACATAATAGAATAGGTATTAAATTCCCCTTAAGGTCTTTAAAATGAAAACTTCAAGCACCATAACCCCAATGACTATGGTGCCATGATTACCCTGACACCCCATCCCCCATTGTAAGCAGTCAAACCGTCTGATAACGGTATGACTTCTTACATGAGCATCATCAGGTACCACGGCCTGCCTGCTCTAAACAGGAAGTGAGAGGCTAAAAACCCTGCTAGGTGCTTCCATCTACTCTCTTGAGTTAGATGATCGTCCAAAGCCAATGGGTTAAGCCCTACACCACCAGGCATAGCAGCTTCCTCCTAGAGAAGAGCAAAAATCGGTGCATGACAGACCACAGGTAAGTCAAAAAGTTCTAAAGCTGTAACTGTTACAGTGCTTGGAGTGTTCCTTTAAAGACCAAACCGTGATGATTAAATAGAATGCGACAAGCTTTTGAGGTGTTAATAATGGTAACTATACCACTTAACAGTCCCATCAGTAAACCCAGAAAAAAGAACAAAGCTCACAAGAAATTTTCTCCCTCTTTTTAACCATTCTAACCAAGAAAATGCAACAAAACTCAATAGAGAAAAAACAAAGCTTCATGCTCTCAGTTTACAACACACTAATCACCTATACAAAAATGCATACTTGACCTTTCACAATTACAAGTTAATCTTCAATATGACAAAAATAAAGTATCATACAATCTAGGCTGATTTCTGAAGGATCTTAAATAAAATTGATGCAATATATTCTGTTCTTAAATAGGCACAAGAAGTACTAAAAATGACTTCTTGATCTCTATTATATATAGTTTTTACTTTATATTTTTCACATACAAAATAAACCAAACCTTTTGCTCTCCAGATACTGAACTCACTTCCATCACTATTAGTCAGCTGGCTTAACCCCTTAAGGACCAAGCTTCTGGAATAAAAGGGAATCATGACATGTCACACATGTCGTGTCCTTAAGGGGTTAAATAAAAAGAAAAAAGGTTAGAGTTTTTTTCCTGTTTACTCTTTGGGGCAGAAAATGCATAAAAATTAAATTTTCATCCATTCATTGGAAACTTCAAAAAAGGATAATTTAAATGTGTAAAATTACTCTTCTGACACAGCCAGTGGGATTGATGCTTGGACAATCATCTCAGTGGTAAAACAGTGCAACTGAAATATTATAAGGATATGTATATGAAAGGATTACTGGAAGAATTCATGTTAAGCGCAAAGAGTGCCATTCTATACATCACGATCTGTCACCATCATCCAGTATCTAGCATCATCATTACTATAGAATTAAAGTCATGAGGTCCAGAAATCTTTACACATATTCCAAAAACTGTAAAGGCCAAAATGACCATTATAGACCATGTTTAGTGTTTGAAATAGCACCAAAATGTATACATCTCCCCCATTTTACTATGGATACAAGCTGTAAATAGCTTTAATTTTACTGTCTCAAAGCCAAAGAAGCAATAATATAATGCAAAATGCTGGTTTACATACATGTAGAAGCTACAGACCTCCACCCTTGAAGCGGCTCGATCACTAAATAACTTCCTCAGCCAAGGGATCCCATCATGTGCCGATCCCATTGGGTCTTCTTTCCCAGCGCTGCCATCTTATGGTTTCTAAGATAGCGGCACCCAGAAACCCTATCTTATGTCCTACCCTGGGCTTGCGCATGAGATCACACAAAGTAGACCAAGCATCATTGGGTATGTAACATGCTGGAAGGAGCCGCTTAAACATACATCTACTTACTATTGCAAGTGTAGCAGTTTAACAGATATTAAAGATACCAGACACAGTTTGGCATTTAATACTGAGCAAGGCTTGGGGGACAAATGGCCCCTAAATAGATAGGTCTACCTAGCCATGTCTAATATTTAACTGCCCTAGTGGAAAATGTCCTAATGTTTGGCACAGTTTTCTTTTGAAAGTCACTTATTTTAAATGCACAAAATTCATAAAAACAAAAACGTTTCTATAAGGCAGACATTACAGAGCTCTCAAGAGGAGAGATCTGTAATTATTTAAACTTCGAACGGATAAATAATGCCTTCAAGACGAACTCCTTTTTCTTCTTCTTTCATTCATGTACACAGTCCACTAGAAAGAATATGATGACATATACTACATTTTCCATTAAGAGGGTTAGCCTCAGATACATTTATATCTGGGTATTCACAGAAAGTGAATCATGGTCCAATCAAAATCCGGGGAGTTTAAAAAAAATAATAATGCAGTTTCCTTAATACACTTTGGAAAATTCACTTGTAACTCAGCACTTGTAAGAACAGGTGTGTTTGCCCATTAGTCACCTGAATGCAATGATGCCAGAGTCAAATTATTAGTGAAACAAGCTCTTATATAAACCACCACCTTGGTGTAAAATGTAAAGATCAGGTGTTTTGTGGAGAAGCTCATGGCTGTAATGCTGGGAGTTTTAGCAAGATTACACCTACTGGCAGAAACCTGGGTCAATCACACAAGAGGGAAGGAGGCAAGATGCAGCATTCCTCTTCTAAATGACATACAGGGACTGCCACAAAGCACAACCTCGGCCATCCTAAACTTATAGTGACCATGAAGTCATTCCTGAGCAACATTAGTTAACTACAAACAGTAAAACCTCAATACTGTACTTGTGTACACTGACAAAGTTCTACTACAAAAGTAGGTAAAATATGTCCGTGTATGAAGCACAGCAAAAGGAATTATTCATGGATGGCACAACATGGGAACAATATTACCACAGTACAAAACCTGCACAAATATTAAAAGTGATCGTTCACCATAACGGTAAAGGTTAGCTCCAGACAGAGTTTGTGCATTAAAGTCTAAGGTCTCTGAAGAACTAAAGCCCTTTATCAAGAGGCATCTCTAGATATCCAGCCGCTCTCCGTTAAAAAGTTTAAAATTCTTTTCTTTAAGACTTTATCTAAATAGCTGGGTAGGCGGATTTTTGATGGGATTCCCTGCCTCTTCTGTAGGTGATCTTTAATTATTATAGTTTTCACAGTGAGGTAGCGGGTAGGACTCAAGTTCAGGGAGCTGCAGAGAACCTTCTCTCTATCAGATAATAGTTCAAACCCAGCAAGGTTCTCAATGGCAGCAAACTCTCCTTCCTTTCCCTCTTCTCTACCTCTCTTTGAACTTGTTGTGTTTTTGTTTTCTTTTCGCTTTTCCCTCTTATGTCTCGCGGCTTCATATTCGGCAGATTCTTCCATTTTAGTAATCCCGTTTCTCCGGTACCTCTGAAGTTCCCGGATTTTTGCACGAAGCATCCTTTCCTTATGCATGTTCTCAAAGAAGTCTTCTATTTCTTTGTTTGACATGAACTGAAAGAGTGACCTCAGTTTTAACCTGAGCTCTTTCTCCTCTTTAGATATTTTCCGTTTCACAGGTTTGTCTTTATCTTTTTTATCTTTCCCCAGAAACGTAGGAACTAGATTATAATCCCTTGCTATGTTTTTCCTCCTCTGCCTCTCTTTGAGTTTTCGAACATACATGTGTACATAAGATTCCTTAAGTTCTACTTCAACATCATCGTCATCATAATTTACAGACAACCCACTGATCAAAGTCTCTGCATCCTGGTCGTATTCTATCTCATAGTCATCCCGCAGGGGCATATAACCCAGCTGTTGCTGTTCTGCCACAGTTATGTCCAATGGTGGCAGTGGTGTGGTCAGGCTAGGAGACAATGGACCACCAGTAGGACACGTGTGATCAGTAACTCTGTTGGGAATGTTGTCAGGAATACATGCTTTTCCAAGGTTGCCATGGATGTACATGCTGACATAGTGTTCCATCACCTCTTGAGGAGTCCGATTTGCACCCACATGTGCAGCCATATCCTCCTGAGATCAGACACAAAAGAAAACAAAATAAATTGGTAAATACAAATAAAGAATAAAAACTGTATCAAACTGAGCTAACCAAGAACAGAAGTAATATTTTTAAAAATTTAACCCAAGACCAGGAATAATTCTTCATGAGATTCTATATGATTAAAACATGTTACTTGCTTTAGAAGGGCAGTGATTATATACATGTTGGTCAAACTGTAAAACATAGAAACTGCACTTTCAATGAAAGCTAAATCGATACTCCAAGAATCATAATGTTCAATGAAAGTCATCTTGCAAGAAATCCCAATTTACATGCAGTTGTATTTTACTGTAATTTATTGAAAATAACATTGCCAAAAATAATGCCAAAACACAAAAGTACTTCAAGTCAGCTATCATCACAGGTTGATTATATTCGCAGGCATTTTGGTTTTCTATTCACCGTTTATTGATAAAATTCCAAACTACAAAACTAAGGCATTTTAAGACCATGTTACAGTGGAATTCCAAATAGGATTTATCACCCTTTTCTGACTTGTATGTATAATGCATTAAAAATGCTCACCTATGCACCTGTTTCATATGTTTTCATTGGAACCAAGTTACTGATGGATATTTATTTCCACACATTTTCATTTTTACCACGCTGTTTACTCTACTAGGTAGGCAAGAGTCTATGGCAACTCTCAGCATGGGCTCTACTCACCAAAGGCTAGAGCAGGACTAGGCAACCTTCAGCACTCTAGATGTTGTGGACTACATCTGCCCTGATGCTTTGCCAGCATGACTACAAGAGCATTGTGGGATATGTAGTCCACAACTTCTAAAGCGAAGCCAGTCCATAGGAAAGCATTCTCATTGCTTTCCTATGGACGCTGGCATCTTCTCACTGTGAAAATCATAGTGAGAAGTGCGCAAGCGCCTCTAGCGGCTGTCAATGAGACAGACACTAGAGGCTGGATTAACCTATAGGTAAACATGGCAGTTTCTCTGAAACTGCTATGTTTACAGCAAAAAGGGTTAATCTTAGAGGGACCTGGCACCCAGACCACTTCATTAAGTGGAAGTGGTCTGGGTGCGTATAGTGGTCTTTTAAGACTAAGTAGTTAAGCACAAAAGAGGCAGACAGTACCTTTTTAAAGACACACTCCAGACACCTAACGTATTGAATGTGAAGAGTGTGTCCTCTCATTTTCATTTTGCAAAAACTGTAGACTTCATTAGAAATTTACACTTTTCTAAATTAACCTGATTACACCCTCTTGGCTTTTAAGCAGACAACAGATAATGTTACTTCCTGGTTATTTGCCTCAGTGGCGCTAAACTCAAGAGGCAACAATTGCTCAGTACACCTGCCATCCAAAGACATCTCACTGAGCAGCATTAGGAAGTCTGTGATTGGACAGATACAAAAAGTCTGGATGGGGATGGGGGGGGAGCGCTTACAAAGCCAGCAGACAAGAGATCTGTAGCTTTTGCAAGTTGTTTTTTTGATATATACTAAATGGGGAAAAAATAAAAATAAAAAATGCATAATTAAACGCATACACATTTTCATTTTGGGTATATCTACAAAACAGTGATTTTTATTTATTTTGCAAATGGGCAGTAAAGTGTCCCTTTAAATGTAAATTTGCAGAAATTTGTAATTTACTGATTTAGCGTGTAATTTTAAAGCATTCTCTCTGTGATGCATAAACCAAATATGATCTGGAGTGCTAAATTTCTGCACACAGGGGGATGTGTATTGTAATGGCTGCAGGATAATACTAATATTAATATGGCCTTATCTTGTACAGCGCTACAGAATCTGATGGCGCTATATTAATAATAATAATCTGCTGTGTTTGGAGCTGCTTTTCTCACGCTCAGTGAGATGTTGAGTTGTAGTTTTTGCTGGCTGTAGGTAAAGCACAATCCCAGGTATGGCAGAGCTGCACTCCCCATGGTGCCTGGCCATGCTGGGAGCTGGCTGGGGGGCCTGCCCTGTGAGCTGCCTCCATCCCAGGTATGGCAGAGCTGCACTCTCCATGGTGCCTGGCCATGCTGGGAGCTGGCTGGGGGTCTGCCCTGTGAGCTGCCTCCATCCCAGGTATGGCAGAGCTGCACTCCCCGTGGTGCCTGGCCATGCTGGGAGCTGGCTGGGGGCCTGCCCTGTGAGCTGCCTCCATCCCAGGTATGGTAGAGCTGCACTCCCCATGGTGCCTGGCCATGCTGGGAGCTGGCTGGGGGGCCTGCCCTGGGAGCTGCCTCCATCCCAGGTATGGTAGAGCTGCACTCCCCATGGTGCCTGGCCATGCTGGGAGCTGGCTGGGGGGCCTGCCCTGGGAGCTGCCTCCATCCCAGGTATGGCAGAGCTGCACTCCCCATGGTGCCTGGCCATGCTGGGAGCTGGCTGGGGGGCCTGCCCTGGGAGCTGCCTCCATCCCAGGTATGGCAGAGCTGCACTCCCCATGGTGCCTGGCCATGCTGGGAGCTGGCTGGGGGTCTGCCTTGTGAGCTGCCTCCATCCCAGGTATGGCAGAGCTGCACTCCCCATGGTGCCTGGCCATGCTGGGAGCTGCCTCCATCCCAGGTATGGCGGAGCTGCACTCCCCATGGTGCCTGGCCATGCTGGGAGCTGGCTGGGGGGCCTCCATCCCAGGTCACAGTCACAGAGTGGGAATTGCCGCGAATTCACAGCGAGTTTAAACTATAAGGCCACAATAATCGAACTCCGAGCAGAGCCGACCTGGATTGGATGCCCACAATTCGGCAGTTTCGGTTTTTAAAGTTCGAAATTCGCTTTAAATCCCCCCTTCCCTCCCCCATGTTAGCGTGCCGCCCCCTCCGCGCTCACCCAATTGCCGAACCCGAACTGTTCGATGGCATCGAGCAGCAGCTGCTCTTCCCTGCTGGTCCAGCCTCCCTCGGCTTCGGGCCCCCACAGGGCGAAGCGGCCGCCATCCACCAGCTGGTATCCGTGCCACCGCCGGTGATTGCCTATCTCCGCCCCCGCCGAGAAGCAGTCGGTGCAGAGCTCGATGTCCTGGCACTCGGTGCAGCGGAGCCGCAGGCTGGTCACGTCGGCCAGGCAGTAGACGCAATATTTCTTCCCCAGGTCCGCCATATTGGCCGCCGAGCTGTTCGTCGGACTCAGCGGGCAGGCTCCGCCCACCACTTCCGGCTCCTCTAGCTGTCGGCGCCGCGCGTGCGCCCTGCCAGCTCGTTCACTATTGGCTCGTGCGCTGCGGCTTCGCTCTGATTGGATGGTTGGGAGAGTGACGTGGGCGTGCGACCAATCCGAAAGGAAGCCATTCCCAGTGGGACCGCCCTCCACTCCGAACGCCGTATCCATGGAAACCGCCGGGAAGCACAACCACACAGTGCTGGAGTCCAACTGAGTTATCATGTCCTTCCCTGTTACTGGCTCCCCGGACACCCAGGGCAAGAATGGGGATCCAAGAACCTCAACACCCGAGGGCAAGAATGGGGATCCAGGACCCTCAACACCTGAGGGCAAGAATGGGGATCCAGGACCCTCAACACCTGAGGGCAAGAATGGGGATCCAGGACCCTCAACACCTGAGGGCAAGAATGGAGATCCAGGACCCTCAACACCTGAAGGCAAGAATGGGGATCCAGGACCTTCAACACCTGAGGGCAAGAATGGGGATCCAGGACCCTCAACACCTGAGGGCAAGCATGGGGATCCAGGACTTTCAACACCTGAGGGCAAGAATGGGAATCCAGGACCCTCAACACCTGAGGGCAAGAATGGGGATCCAGGACCTTCAACACCTGAGGGCAAGCATGGGGATAAAGGACTTTCAACACCTGAGGGCAAGAATGGGGATAAAGGACTTTCAACACCTGAGAGCCAGAACGGGGGTCCAGACTTAAAGAAGGTGAAAGATAGCATAGAAGAACTTGGGCAGGAAAATGAAAGTGTTCAGATATCATCCCCTGGAGAAGGGGATGAGAAGTCACCTGGACAAGACTTTGGGGAAGAGGTCTCTCCTGAAGAAGAAGATGGGCAGGGGTCATCTGGGGAGGAAGGTGGCCAGGAGGCATCTCCTGAACAAGGCGGCGATGAGGATCTAGAAACAGAGGCAGAAGTTCCTGGGGGTTATCCTAAGGGTGGAAGTAGAAGTACCCCAGTACTTACAGCCAGGACTGAAGACGATGAACCTGAAATGTATGAAACAGCCACACCAGAAGCAGATAAGGACCTCATGACTTATCAAGAAGAAGAAGTTGAGATGGCAGTGAGTTGAAACCACTGGATTATGACTCTGACAAAGATGGCGATGAGGAAGAAATCAGAGAAAGTCTCATTAGGCAGTATCAAGCCCTAGTTTCAGAGAGGGAAAAGATCCAGCATCAAAATGCACAACTTCAAAATAAGCTTTATGAGTATTTTCGACGCAAAAAGGGCGAAGATACACGAATCGAAATGGACAAGCATGTCCCTGACCAGGAACAGCGTTACCTGAAGTATCTGTCCACTTTAGAGGCGACAAGGAAGCAGTACTTATTAGATGCTGCCTCCCACCAGCAGCAAATCGAACAGTTAAGGTCTCAGTGCCAAGAAGTTGTTAGTCGTGTAGACAAAGAATGGGCATCTTTCCAAGAGCACAAGAGGGCAATAGCCCTGTACGGCCCCAATCGTGTTGGAAAACAAGTCTCACCTGCCCTAATTCAAGAGGTGGAACAACTACAGGCTAAAGAAGACCGCAAACAGAAAGAGGTCATACAAGTGCGCTTGGAGAATATAAAGTTGAAAAATAAGATCAACCAATTTGAATCCATCTTGAGATCCAAAGAGGAGTTGTCCGAAGGCCTGCACCTTATTGACTTTGAGCAGCTAAAGATTGAAAATCAAACATATAACGAGAAGATTGAGGAGCGAAATGAGGAACTATTGAAGCTCAGAAAAAAGATAACCAACACAGTGCAAGTGCTAACCCATGTCAAAGAAAAACTACAGTTTATACAAGCGGAAAATCAAGAACAGAGGGACAGACTGATGCAAGTGGATGCATTGGTGGCACAGAAAAGGGACATTTTGACCAAAACCAAGCAGGCTAGAGATAGTTTAAGAATAGACAACCTGAAACTCAAACAACAGTGTGGGCTGCTAGGCAACAAGACACTTCTCAGAGATTTTGAAGACAAAGTAGATGCCACTGAGGAGCTGCAAAAAAAGCTGGAAAATCTAAAGCGTCGCCATGCTGAGCTTACTCTAGCTAGTAAAGGGATGGTAAAGAAAATAGAGGTGGCTAAATCATCAATACTTGATTAAAAAAACCAAAAGGTGTTCAAAGGAGTTTATTCACTGAAATCTGAATCGTAGCTAAATTAAATCCAAATGTAGGCAAAAATAGCTGATCTGGAGTGCAGGTTTATATGTATTAACAGGGTGATGCATGTGATTGCAGAACTTTTTGTTGTTTTTAGTCGATTTTTGATGACTTGTGTGATCGAAAAATAAACGTTTATATTGTTTAGTATGTCACAAATTCTCTTTCCAACACAAAACCAGAAATGCTACTTGCTCACTATTCAAAATCTCAATTGCCATTTAAATAACACGTTTTTGTACCTTTGTAATGGCCATTGAAGTGGTACCCCAAACCACTGTTATTTAAATGACTTTTTAGCGCACGTTTTAGTTTTTTCTTATTTAAATGTCTATACTGATGAATATTATAGTCGTTGCTCCTGAGAGTGTGAGTGCAAGGCTAACGTATGTGTTTTTCTTTGTACCTTAACCGTGCACTTGGTTATAATTTTACACTCTGTACAGGTGTTAGCTGTTTTGGTAATGGGTTCCCCATGGTGCTTAGCCAGCTCCATGGCTCTCTGAGCATCATGAGAAATCGAATACAGAAATACGTGGGATGCCCATGTTAGCAATGCTTTGTTTAGAATACACTTATAAGAATGCTATGCACTTGTACTTATTTGAACAACATATAATGTCCTGAATAAGACAGTACCTGTGAATAGGCCATATATATATATCAAAATAAATGCAATTTCAAATCTACAGGGTCATGTGTATGTGTTGCAGCACTTAAGACAAATTATGATCATATTACAGTTAAAGTGGGATTGTCGCTTCTAAAGTAATGGTGCTTTTACTTATTACTGCCTTGTCCTAAACCATACCTCCCAACATATCAGATTGAAAAAGATGGACACTTTCATTTTAGGGGTGTGACTGGTGGTGTGCCCAGGTAAAGCTGTTCTGAGAAATTTTAGGTGACTTACTAATAACAATGTATACAACTTAAATATAATTTAGAACAAGAACAATGCATTTTGTTTACACGGACTGATTTCTAATCACATTTATTGTTAATTTAAAGACACATTACTCTGAGTATTATTATTGTGGAGCTCTATTTCACACGCAAACAATATTAAGCTCCTAGAAAATAGTGTTTTGAGCCCACAAAGGGAGAGTCCTTCAGAAATTAGGACATTTAGGTGGTATTCCTAAACACTGAAATTTGTTGGCCTTTTGTTATCTTAAACAGCTGTATCTTTAAATAAGATTGCATCATAAGCAAGGCCATTCTGGCTCAGCCCAGCAACCAGTACACTTTGCAGATTTTCCATGATTACCATATCAAAGGCCTTTGAGGACAGATACACCTGCAATGAATCATGATCCTACTCAATATGGTAGGTAAAAAGTTACTGAACGTAACAAATCCTATTCAATTGGTAACATGAATATATCTGATGACAATTTTCACTTGTAATTTAAAGGACCACTCTAGGCACCCAGACCACTTCAGCTTAATGAAGTGGTCTGGGTGCCAGGTCCAGCTAGGGTTAACCCATTGTTTTATAAACATAGTTTCAGAGAAACTGCTATGTTTATGAATGGGTTAAGCCTTCCCCCAAAGCCTCTAGCGGCTGTCTCATTGACAGCCGCTAGAGGCGCTTGCGTTCTTCTCACTGTGATTTTCACAGTGAGAGCACGCCAGCGTCCATAGGAAAGCATTGATAATGCTTTCCTATGCGACCGGCTGAATGCGCACGCAGCTCTTGCCGAGCGTGCGCATTCAGCCGACGGGGCGGAGAGGAGGAGGAGAGCTCCCCACCCAGCGCTGGAAAAAGGTAAGTTTTTACCCCTTTCCCCCTTCCAGAGCCGGGCGGGAGGGGGACCCTGAGGGTGGGGGCACCCTTAGGGCACTATAGTGCCAGGAAAACGAGTATGTTTTCCTGGAACTATAGTGGTCCTTTAACTTACTTGGCAATTTTAGCCCCTGCTGATTAGTATGTTTACGCTGTTGTACTCTTGTGCTTGCGTAAAAGTAAAAAATGAGGGTATATGGAAGACCCCCTTAAAGGGACACTATAGTCACCTGAACAACTTTAGCTTAATGAAGCAGTTTTGGTGTATAGAACATTCCCCTGCAGCCTCACTGCTCAATCCTCTGCCATTTAGGAGTTAAATCCCTTTGTTTATGAACCCTAGTCACACCTCCTGCATGTGACTTGCACAGCCTTCCATAAACACTTCCTGTAAAGAGAGCCCTATTTAGGCTTTCTTTATTGCAAGTTCTGTTTAATTAAGATTTTCTTATCCCCTGCTATGTTAATAGCTTGCTAGACCCTGCAAGAGCCTCCTGTATGTGATTAAAGTTCAATTTAGAAATTGCGACACAATTATTTAAGGTAAATTACATCTGTTTGAAAGTGAAACCAGTTTTTTTTTTTTTCATGCATGCTCTGTCAATCAGGGAGGTGTGGCTACAGCTGCATAAACAGAAACAAAGTGATTTAACTCCTAGATGACAGTGAATTGAGCAGTGAAATTGCAGGGGAATGATCTATACAATAAAACTGCTTTATTTAGCTAAAGTAATTTAGGTGACTATAGTGTTCCTTTTAAGGCTGTAGGATCTTTCATACAGCTCATGCATGCACAATAAGATGCCATAGTCATATATTGTGCATCTTAAAGGGACACCATAGGCAACCAGACCACTTCAGCTCATTGCAATCTTTGAGAAACTGCAATGATTATATTGTAGGACTAAGACTGCCTCTAGATTATATTGCAGGACTAAGACTGCCTCTAGTGGCTGTCTATCTTTTCAATGCTTTCCTATGGGGAGGTCTAATGCCCGTGCGCGACATTGCCACGCATGCGCATTAGGTCTCCCCCGGCAGCGGCCGCGCATGCTCAATAGGTCTCCCCTGCCGGATGACGACGGCGGGGGAGGAGCGTGGGCGGACCCTGAACTTTTCTGGGATTTTATTGAATCAACATTAATTTTAGGGAAGCTGGTTTCCCAGTAAGACATATTAATTTTCATTATGTTAAAGGACCACTATAGTGCCAGGAAAACATACTCGTTTTCCTGGCACCATAGTGCCCTGAGGGTGCCCCCACCCTCAGGGTCCCCCTCCCGCCCGGCTCTGGAAGGGGGAAAGGGGTAAAAACTTACCTTTTTCCAGCGCTGGGCGGGGAGCTCTCCTCCTCCGATCCTCCTCTTCTCCTCCCATGCGGCTGAATGCGCACGCGCGGCAAGAGCTACGCGCGCATTCAGCCAGTCACATAGGAAAGCATTATCAATGCTTTCCTATGGACGCTTGCGTGCTCTCACTGTGATTTACACAGTGAGTAGCACGCAAGCACCTCTAGCAGCTGTCAATGAGACAACCGCTAGAGGAATTGGGGGAAGGCTTAACCCATTCATAAACATAGCAGTTTCTCTGAAACTGCTATGTTTATAAAATAATGGGTTAACCCTAGAAGGACCTGGCACCCAGACCACTTCATTAAGCTGAAGTGGTCTGGGTGCCTAGAGTGGTCCTTTAAACTATAACGGGTTGGTTTGTGAGAATTGGGCTTCAATTGCTAAAAATTCAAACAAATCGCATTAGTTTATTTGCCTTTATGAGTATGATGTGTGATCTATATTCATATGCAGACTGGCAGGTTTGTGCTCTTCAGCTCCTATCTTGCTCAATTAAGTGATGACTTGATGGGAGTTGTAGTCCTGATCAGCAATTGGAAATATATGATATGTCTATTAAACAGTATCCTTTAAAATAGGCACTATCAAATAATGCATGTCCATAATGTTCATCACTACTTAAGCACCTCTGTAATCTGTAAAGGTGCAGATTATAACTAGCAAGTGTTGTCCAGTCACCACATTGTAACCATGCTGCCAAAGGATAACTATTTGCCCACTTGCTTCTAGCAGGGCCAGCAGGCAAACCGTTTGGCTTTTTAAAACCTGGGTCTGGTTTTAAAAATTGGGATCTTATTTTAACTGTCCAGCAACATTCAGTCTGGCTGATCTCCAGCTTTATTCAGTTTGGAGCCTGGGTAGCAAAATCCAGGCATTGTTAAATAGCATTAACTCGGGCCAAATATACAAGGCTTAAGTTTATGTAGGCCGCACAAAAAAAAAAAAGAGTTCAACGTAGACCAACACAAACTTAAATTACTTGTATCATTTTCATGCAAACAATATGTAATCCTGGGTGTGTGTATATGTGTATATATAATTCACTTTAAAAGCTTAATCTCAAATTACTATCTCAGTAGTAATGCCACTGTCTGAAGTGTTTGCTCCCTCAGTCCCTCAGCAAACTGCAGTCTCAGCCAGGTAGGTAGCCGCACTGTCTGCTCCGCTCGCTCCCTAGTCCCTCTGCAATCTCCAGGTTGAGTAATGTGTGGCTGCACACTCCACTCTGTTCACTTCTTCCCCCCCTCTATTCATGTCTCTCTTCCCCCTTCCATCCATGTCTTTTTTTTTTCCCTCCATATCTCCTTACCTTCCATATCTCTCCCTCCCTTCCATATCTCCCCCACATCTCTCCCTCCCTTCCATATCTCTGCCCCCACATCTCTCCTTCCCTATCTTTCCCCCCACATCTCTCCCTACCTTCCATATCTCCCCCACATCTCTCCTTCCCTTCCACATCTTTCCCCCCACATCTCTCCCTACCTTCCATATCTCCCCCACATCTCTCCCTCACTTCCATATCTCTGCCCCCACATCTCTCCCTCCCTTCCATATCTCTCACCCCATGTCTCCATCCAAATCTCCCTACCCCCTTCCATTCATACCTGGCAGGCAGCTGTTTCTTCCTCAGAGCTGGCGCCCGAGGTGTTGGAAGCACCGGCCCCCCTCCCTGCTGTTTCTCACCTGACATAGCAGGGGAGAGGGGCCTCTCCATCTCCGGCGTTGCGCGGACCTACGCAGAACGGGAGGGGGTGGCGCTCCCCCTTCCCAGTGTACAGTGCTTGCGGTTCCCATGGAGCCACACGCTGCCTGTGGGTGGAGGAAATTTAGGCCAAGATGGGCGCAAAAATCACTTGTCAGTCTGTCAAGTGGTTTTTGCGCACTCCTGATTGGCTAGGCCGCGGGCCACAATGAAAGTCATTGTGGGCCGCAAGTTTGACATCCTTGCCATACAGTAAAGAGCCATTCGGAGTTTAATGAATAATCCTGGCTGCCTTCCACAAGAAGTAGCTAATATTAATTCCAATTTGGAATATGTTGGTGCTTATAAATATCAGTAATAATAATATTCATGACAGAATGTGGGAAATCTCTGTATGTATGGGGAAAATGAGAGAGATTTGCACAAGTACACATGAGCCATAGAAGGCTTCTATTTTCTCAGCCAAGCACTTCCTATTCCACTTTTTATGCCTGTGTGCTCCGTGTTTTATGTTGCTTTAAAATACCATTTAGTCACCCGGCCCCTCATTAAAAGGGTAGTTAAAGGGACACTATAGTCACCAGAACAACTACAGCTTATTAAATTTGTTCTTGTGAGTAGAATCATTACCTTCAGGCTTTTTGCTGTAAACACTGTTTTTTCAGAGAAAATGCAGTGTTTACATCACAGCCTAGTGATAACTTCACTGGCCACTCCTCAGATGGCTGTTATAGATCCTTCCTGGGTCATGGCTGCCTAAAATGCATCCAAACATTTAGTGTCTCCTCCCTCTGCATGCAGACACTGAACTTTCCTCATAGAGATTCATTGATTCAATTCATCTCTATGAGGAGATGCTGATTGGCCAGGGCTGTGTTTGAATTGTGCTGGCTCTGCCCCTGATCTGCCTCTTTGTCAGTCTCAGCTAATCCTATGGGAAGCATTGTGATTGGATCAGGCTACCACTTCTGATGTCAGCAGACTGCTTGTTTTTTTTTTTAGGCAAACCACATGCAGATCTACAGCTTCAGGCTTGAATACAGTAAGATTTTGCTATATTTATGGATGCACGAGGGCTCAGGGGGGCTAGATGGTGGCATTACCACTATAGGGTCAGGAATACATGTTTGTGTTCCTGACCCTATAGTGATCCTTTAACTCACATTTTTCCAGCACCGTGCGGGACTCCTCCTTGGTTGAGATGATCAATTCTGATGATCTCAGCCAATCTAATACTTTCCAATAGGAAATCATTGGGAAGTTATCATGCATGTGCGACAAAACACCTTGCTGCGCCAATCAGCACGTCCTCAAAGAGATGCACTGAATCAATGTATCTCTGAGGAATATTTAGCGTGGAGGTGCTGGACATCAGGAAGCACCTCTAGTAGCCATCTTAGTGACTGCCACTAGAGGTGCCTGTAGACGGTAATGTAAACACTGCCTTTTCATAGGCAGAGTTTACATTAAAATGCCTACAGGGTCTTACTATAGACACCAGTGCACCCACTTTAAGCTGTAGTTAGTGACTATAGTGTCTCTTTAAGGGTTAGAATTACATCATAAAACACATTAAATACCAGCTCCACACACTCTTTGGAGCTTTCTATTGGAGTGTTTTAGAGGTTAGAAAAAGTCTTCCTCCACATGAGCAAACATGGTATGTTGCATAGGCCAAGTTTAGCCTTTTATTAAACACAAATATATTTTCTGCTGTCATTAGAATAGAACTTAGGATAGAAACTGTGGTGAAACCGACCTCGCCACGTGTCCTTGGAGGGGGCTGCTTGCCCGCCTCTTGCCTTTGGACTATGGACCAGACTTTGTGTGAATGTGTTAACCCAGATAGCTATGCCATGGAGCCCATTCGTGTAGTTAAAGACTTCGGCTCCATGGCAATTGAACTGTGTGAATAGGATCTGAGCGCTATTCGGTAGTTTTGTGCGCTCAGATCCCAGCTATCTGGGGATATGTGAAATGTCTGTGTGTTATGTGTAAAAGGTGACTTTATGTATTTTAAAGTGTTTTATGTCTTTTTGCAACCATGTGCTCAATGGAGTCTGCCTCTATCCCTGGATAATTGGATTACTTTCCCCCATTGTCTCCAGGATAGAGGGCTCTGTAAAACCTGTTTGAGCCAGATAGCCATGTGCCAGCCAGGGCCCAAAAGATACTTTTACTAACTTTTGAACCCCTGGTCGGATTCATGCCATTTTTTAATATGTTGTTCCCCTGAATGGATTGATTGTGAATATGTAATTTTATGTGAATGTGATGTATGGTTTTAAAGTTATGAAAGTTGGGTAGAAAGTATGTTTTAACTGTATGTGTAATTGAGTTTCCTCTCAGGATAAGGGGAGGGAATATGTGGGATGTAACTGTGATATGATTGGTTGTTTTATACCTCCCTGTGGGCGGTCCTGTATGTGAAAGGCTGTAATAAAAACCAGGCTGGGTGTGCCAGCACAGGAGTTCCTGCTTAACCCTCAAAGTGAAGTGTCATCTCATTATTGGGGGAAGGATTTATTGTATGCTGTTCCAGTTTGACTGCAAAGAGAGTAAACCTATTCGTATGGTTCCTATTCAACTGTCTACAGCATTCATATGCTTGAGAGAAGGTATACGCTTCTCTGGTTCGGGGATTGTGGTGTCTGCCAGAGACGCAGCTCTGTGTTATGGACGTGAGGATTCTAGTGCCCTTCAATTATTACTTGCACCAACATTTTATGTTATAGGTTCTATGAACAAATAATGTTATATGTTTTTATTTATCCCAGCTTGTGGTTATTTGTGAAGACAATTTGGTGGGAGAACAGCTACATAAGTAGCGGCCTGTAACCTGCCTATATGTCCAATCTCCAAATTATGTGACAAATCAGTGTTTCCTACTTGTATACTTAGTTAGGCTAAGGAAACGGTCATTGGGGCAGCAAGGAGGATAAATCTGGCCCTGGTGGTCAGAGTTCTTATAATGTCCTTTTACAACTCATCAGTGTATGTACTCCAAATAGACAGAACTCCTCTCTAATACTTTATAACTTTACTTTTGGAGAGAATGTTGACATCATCGTGGCCCTAAATCTGCAAGTGAGGACATTAAAGGCACTCTCCCGGGTATTTGGACCCCACTTAAATCTGTATTTGCATTATTGATCAAGCCGCCCCAAACACCTCTCTTACCATTTGTGAGCTTTTCAAGACATTTCAGAAAAGCTGCTCTGAGCAGACAGAAGAGCCACACAAGCACCTTTTGATATTCATGTAAAATGTTAAAATGACATTAGGATTCATCAATATTGGAGTATTTGAGACAAAGGTGGGCTTGACGTAGTCTAGAAATATGGTGTGGCTATAAACTTAATTTTTTTAGGGAATTTCAAACATTTTTGGGTGTGTTTTTTTTCTGGATTATTTTCTCGAGATTAGTTGTTTTCTGGAGATAACAGGTCAGAAAAATATATTTTAAAATGGGCCTCTCTGGGATTACGTGGATCCAAGCTTGAGATAATTGTGAAAAAGAATCATTCAGTAGAGGCAATATTAAAGAATAAATGAGGCATTGGGTTGCTTCTTAAATTCAGGGTAAAATTGATAGTTGAACTATTAAAGAGGATGATATACTAAGAAACTGCATATTCAAGCATTTACTCAGAAGAAATGTTCTTGTTTAAAAAAAAAAAAATAAACAAAATAAAGTTATTAAAATACACAACATATTTTTACATAAATTTATTTACTAAAACCATATATTTACAATCCAAAAAAGTACAATTTTTAATACACCTTTTCCCCCGATTTAACAATTCTACACAGATAACTGTACATTTAGAACATTTGCATTGGATTTTTTCATACAACTCTGCACAAATAAGTGGTTATTTCTTTAATTGTAATTTTAGAATGTTTTGCATAATGCCAACATGTTACCTACAACATACGTTAAATATGTGTCTTGTACATACTGTGAATATTGCATAATTAATTTTTTGGCATTTCGAATGTGTAAAAGATCCAGAAACCTAATCCTAATTTTCAAGAATACAAGCATCAACAAACCCACATTTTATTTATTTTAGAGAAATTGAGCATGTTTTTTTTTTTTTTAGTGATGCATTTAATCATAATTTTCTTTAGCTTTAAAAGGGATTATTTTAGCATGCCAAACCATTCAAATCTCAAATTTATACCACAGGGTGTACCTATAAATATACTTTATAAAGCATTTCTAAAAAAGTAGAGCAATGAGCAGGATGATTATTTTTTAGGGCAATTTTTTAAATTTTAAAAGTTAGTTACTTTTTAACACACAACTCCCCAAAGCGGTTTTGTGAATGTAGGATGTTGCAGTGTTAAAAAGAACAAAAGTTAAAAAAAATAAGCAGCAAGTGACCGGGACTCAAAGTTGCTTTATGCAGATACACATTGTAAAACATACACCTGCGTGGATCAATATAGAGAAGGAGGGGGATTTTCTAGTGAGGTCCTGAGCTGGTGTTAGTATGTCGAGTTTGGAAATGAACTAATTCTAGTATTCCAAATGATGTTCCCTATGAAAAATTATTTAAAGAGGACAACTCCCTAAACAGGAAACACTTGCTTAGCTGGCATTGGGCCTGTTGTTCGGACGTAGTTATTAGACCCAAGACTTAGGTCAGGACAGTCATGTTTAAAGCAATAGGAAACAAAAAAATAGATAACATTCCCAGTTTAAGATCTATAGGAAGCACTAGGAAAAAATGAAACTAGAAGTGGAATTCTCTATATAATTACAAATATAATTAAATTAAGCAGTTTCAGACTTCCATGGCACCCATACATGACAAACTTTTATTTAACTAAAATAAAGCAAAGTTATTTTTTCCCTATAGTGCTCTGAGAACATGCCAATCAGTGCTCCGTCTCAGCTTGGGAATGCACAGATGTGATACATTAACATCTTAAATATGGACGTAAAAATGAATATTAACCGTGGTTAGTGGGAAATCCAGGTAGAATAACCGCTATAAATCTCTTATATACCATCCCTGTATTATACTTTGTATCATTACTGTGTACCCTGAGTAATAGAACTGTGAATCATTGACCTAAAAATATCCTTTATAATGGTAGTCACTAAGCTGTGATACATTAGAGAACATTTTGTCTTCTTCCCCATCTCTCTGAAGACGTAGTATCTAAGCTTAGCTGTTGAGGTTCTGTAGAATAAAAGGAATTCGCATTGATTATTAAACTCAATTTTATAATCAATTTGTGAATCCACCGGTATTTGCAATTAGTTGGAATGGCAAAATGTGCATTAATGGAATTTTTAAATGAAATAAATAAAAAAAATGTTAATTTATAATGGTTATATATATATTTTTTTTAATGGCCATCTGTTTACAATCCCTGAATTGAGGAGGATATTCAAATGTCTTATTGGTTTTTAAATAAAAAGATTTGGTATGGTCCTAGCTGGATAAACAAACATTGGGTGCATCCCAAAATGCAATGGCATAATGACGTGCAAACTTTCCTACAGTACACCCACAAATTGTGCAAAATGGAATATTGCATTGCTAAAACCAATTGTTTTTTCAACTCTATACACAAATAAGAACAGACATACATACAAAACAGAACAAAATGTATAGATCAGTTTACAGTATACACAAACCAAAAAACAGCAATTCGCAAACGTGATAATTTATCCAGTAGATTTCGTTCACAAAAAACATATAACCAGTGTTTATTTTTATTTTGTGAGTTACAGAATTACTTCCCAGAGTTTATTCTACCGTAGCCTTGATCATCTTTTAAAGCAAGATCTTAAGAAACACACACTAAGTTTCTCGGATATTAGTGTGAAATGTATCGTGGAAGGTTACACTGTTAACTGAATTAAACTTTGAATTGATCACAGTTCCTTGGGATCTGCCTTGAAGAACACAGTTCTACTTGAGGTGATAGCTGACCATTAGTACTTCATTGGGGTGGGCAACCATTTGGCTCGATAAAGATTAGAAAATTGTTAACAGTTTGTGTCCTAAAGTTTAGCAATCAGTGTTTTCAAGTCTACCTACCAGTCATATATCACGTGAAGAAGAACTGTGTAAGATCTGGGAAGAACCTGATAAATTAACAATTAGCCAATGCTTCAGACTATTTTTGTACAATATTGGTCCTTTTTGAACTTGGATTATACACAATACTGTCCATACACAACGTGGAAGATGACAGAGTGTACATCAACATATAATTTTGCTGCGGGCTCTAAATAAAGGTTTTGTGCAGGCACATGATCAATGGAAGATAGAGCACACAGCACTACCAGAAGAAGATGCTTGAGTAGTCATGGGTGACTGGACCATCTTGGCAAGGTGTCTGCTCTTCCTTACATTTGTAGTACCTCTCAACCATAATTCACAAGGATCAAGGAATCCATACTGGCATGCTATAAAGCAGTATTTCAGGTCAATTTGGAAATATGGGAAATATGTGTAACAATTTGAATGTATTTAAAGTACGGAATGTAATTAAAAAAAATAATAATTCCATCATACAATGTGTATGGTAAAGAGTGATTGGATTATTAATTGGCTGCAAACATCACAACGGCAAATATCACCTCAATGTACTGTGATTTAGCTCACTCTAACATCACTGAATTGTACCGATGACGTATGTGCTCTTTAAGTACAATCATGTTTATTTTTTATCATTGCAAGGGAGATAAAAATCCAGGCTTGTGTGGTTATTTTTATCTTGTCAAAATCATTCAGTGCATATAATATGTTTTATGGAAAATGGTACAAAGAAATGTTGATTTTTTTTTTCCCCTGCAAAAACCATTACACCTGTAGAGGAAACACAAAAACAGAATGCCTTTTGAAATCAGGTTACTAAAACTGAATGCCCGGCAAAGGCCCTTATTGACCCTTTCATAAAATTAAGAAAAAAAAATGCTAAACTTTGGTATTCTGCAACGCTATACAAATTAACATTAACACAAATAACTGAACAACAAAAGAGAATTCCAAAGTTAAAAAAGTGCTTGTTCCAAAATACGAGGAATGCATGACTGCTAGACACGTTCTCAAAATCCATTGGTGTTAACCCACATTCACAAAATAATTTAAGGTTTTTCACTCATAACATAAGGTGGGTTTGACCATCTTTCCTTTAGGCAGACCATCGTAAAGATTTATATTTTTATTGTCATTCTTCCACTTTATGAAACTACTAGTAAATAAAAACAAACAAAAAAAAACAAATCCAGACAAACTAATGAACTATTCAATATTTGCTTTACATAGTCATGGATAAGTCAGCAAAATTAAGGGTTTAGATTTTTTTTTATGCATACATTGCATTATCCATTTCTATTGAGTGGCCAGTGCGTGTGAAAGAGTGATGGATATAATGTGATCACAACACAGTAGTGGCGATCTAAACCCAAAATAACATCTAAACATTTACTAACCTTTCAGCTAGCACAATGTAAAGCATAAGTGATCCTTATTTCACCCTTTTAAAAGTCACCATTAAGTCAATAGTACAAGCATAACTTTCAAAAGAAAATAATCTCTAAAGCACAGATTGATGTTCAGTTGGCTCAGTTTAACACAAGCAGGGATACTGTAATATTTTAATGGCCCATAGGTCCTCTTTAGCAATTCACTTTCCTGTTCTTCAAATACAGACATTCATCCAATTTATAGGACTTCCAGAAGCAGAACATTGATGAACATTTCAGATCTTTACTGCATTTATGGTAGAAAACCACTCCAACAATACCAACAAGCCAGGACATTGGTTCACTACAGCAATGGATTACAACCAGATTATTATGATGATCTTCTATAGGCCTTTGTGATAATTGTATGGCTATGATGGCTTGGAACCATGAACATAAAAGATTCATCTACAGTATGAACATAATTCTTGCTTTAATTTAATCTCTTTACCTTGCAGGCATCTTTGGTAAATATCAATTTCTTGTGTAGCTATGATAAACTGTATCTATAGTTTTTCCAAAGGGTTCCAACATTCATTAAAACATTCTGCACTTAATTTGGATTAGTGGAATTTGTAAAATAGTTAATAAATTTCCTAAAACAGAAGATTCAAGCTATCTTCAGGAATGATCATTATGAGTGGTATGGTTGTTTGAAGTGAAAATCCAATGGATTTATAGTCACTCAAAACTACTGCACACAGTGAGGCATGGCCTCAGAGATTAAAGCAAACATTGATTCAAGTGCTACTTTTAAGAAATTTCCTTCCAACTCACAAGGTGTAACAATTGGAAAGAAATCTCAACGAGCAGCCTAACGTTGACCTTAACAATTAAGGCCCATTCCAGTGTATTGACAGCCCTGAATTAGAATGATTTCGTAAGGTAACGTACAAAAACATTTTTTCAGCGTTTCAGAGCAGGACTTCGGTTTTCCATTTCCCGATTATCTTTCTGTAGTGCAGATAGTACCTAAAACAAAAGAAGGGAAAAATAGTTTATATAATTATTTTTTTTAAACCGTCAACGCATTTGACATTGCCATATTTGCCAAAATACCCTTAAAGTAAACACTATTAGGTATTTTTAAACATTGAGATCATTTAACAGCTTTTATATGGACAGTCAATTAGGGGCATATTTACTGATCTAAAATATGTGGCAAATATACCTATATCAATAGGAATATTTAAAAGGATTCTATGACAATTACTGAAATATTAGCAGCGTGTCGCAAGATCGTTTCAGTTTTTCCATTAATAAATATGGCTCCAAATTTCTTCGATTACAAAAATATACAATAAGCACCCTTAATATGCAACCATAACGCTCACCTTTTCTTGGATATTTAAAAACCACCTAACCCTAATTTACAGAAAAAAAATCAAGTGACTGAAATTACATATTTACCGTATATACTCAAGTATAAGTCGACCCGAATATAAGTCGAAACCTCTAATTTTACCCAAAAAAACTGGGAAAACTTATTGACTCGAGTAGAAGACTAGGGTGGGAAATGCAGCAGCTACTGGTAAATTTCTAAATAAAATTATATGCCAAAAAAATTATATTAATTGAATCTTTATTTACAGTGTGTGTATATAATGAGTGCAGTGTGTGTGTGTGTGTGTGTGTGTATGAATGCAGTGTGTGTGTGTGTGGTGTGTGTGTATGCAGAGTGTGTGTATGAATGCAGAGTGTGTTTGTGTATGTGATGCAGAGCCTTGGTGGGGGGTGGGCATTTTTTATTATTTTAATATTTAATTGTTTTTTGTTATATTAATATTTTTTTTTTTTTTTAAAGATTATGAATATTTTATTATTATTTAAATTTGTATTTATTTTGATTCATCCCCCCTCCCTGCTTATTAGCTGGCCAGGGAGGGGGGCTCTCATTCCCTGGTGGTCCAGTGGTGTGCACTGTGTAGGAGGGGGCTGGCAGAGAGCTGTAACTTACCTTTCCTGCAGCTCCTGTCAGCTCCCTTCTCTCTCCTCCAGTAAGCTCCTCTCTCAGCTCCCCTGCAAGTCTTGCGGTGTGAGTGCCACGCAAAGCGTTGCCACGGTAACCCGTTCTGACCCAGCGACTCTCGCAAGACTTACACTGGAGCTGACAGGAGGAGAGAGAAGGGAGCCAACAGGAGCTGCAGGAAAGGTAAGTTACAGCTCTCTGCCAGCCCCCAACAGGACCGCCGGGCTTGTAATGAGCCTGGCGGTCCTGGTTTCAGCACAAAAAAAATGTGCTGAAAAACTCGACTTATACTCTAGTATATACACAGTATCTTTAAAGTGTTACTCCAGCCCTTTTAACCCCTTAAGGACCAAACTTCTGGAATAAAAGGGAATCATGACATGTCACACATTTCATGTGTCCTTAAGGGGTTAAAGGGGGAGAAGAGGGGACCCTTTCTGGTGTAAAATTCCCTATGGCAGTGGTTCCCAAACCAGTCCTCAAGGTCCCCCAACAATCTAGGATTTATGTATTTCCCAGTTTTATTCCAATGGAAATACTGACAAAACCTGGACTGTTGGTGGGGTCTTGAGGACTGGTTTGGGAAACACTGCCCTATGGAGAAGATTTCTCCACCCTCAATTTACAATAATGGAATAAAGTGCCAGCTGAGGCATACCGGTGTGAACCTCCGCACCACCCCCTCCCAAGATCACTGGCGCCTTGCACAGTCCAACCATAGGTTTTTTATTTAAAAAAACCTGTGAATAGCAGAATTCGGGCTGCCAATGTAACGTGTTGGTGGTAAAAAATTGCCCCCAACAAACAAACAAAAATATCTCAGTATGTGCAGTGCTTCAAGCAAAAACACTGCATATACATACTTCTACCACCATGACTGCATCAAATCACTTAAGTGTCATAGTAGTTGGAGTTACCCTTTAAAAAATAAATAACATCAGAAAATGTCAAAACGTCAAAAAGCAAATTTCTTACCTGAGCCCACTTCTTGTTCCGACTTTGCATCTGAATAGCGGCAATGGAGGTAAAGAAATCCTCGGAGGTTAAATCCTCTGGGAGTTTGGTGAGAAACTGGGCAATGTGGATAAAGTCCATTCTTGTCAGAATGTCTTCAAAAAGTTTAAGGATCCCCAGGGCAGTCCTGAAAAGAAACTCTTCTCCATCGCGGCAAAACACATCCCATACTCGACAAGCTAAATCCAGTGGTAACGACTTGCTATACAAGGTAAAAATCCTGCAGAAGGTACATAAAGAAACAAAGAACATAAAGATAAGGTTTGCTGCATGTAGATCCAATAGCACAGAGTACTAAAGCAGTAGGTCAAAATGAGTTCTAACCCAGTGTTTGAAAACTTCATACAGAGCACTGAATATCCTAAAAAGTACTCTCCGGTGCCAGGATGATAAACGGCAAACACCCCTCTCTGTAACACTAACACCCGCCTAAATCATTACAACTTTTGAATTCTATGCTGGTCACCTCATAGACTAATACTGGTATTTACCTGGCATCATCCTTTATTTAAAAGGTATTTAGACTGGAGACCATAACCTTTGTGCTCTTAATTTACCACCTGCTGGTTTTCACCATCAGGAAACCCTGATATCGTCATTCTGGCAATCGACTACTCCCTCCGTGACCTCATTCTCATTTTATTGCCTGTGAAATGTTTCTTCTTCATCCACTGGAGGCCATTTTATTTGATACAAAGGTTCCTATAAACGTTCTTCAATTTGCTAACTGTGTTGGTTTCCTCGCTTTCATCATGTCTATTCAAGATCCTTCGCAAGCAAGGAGATCATTCTGACATTCTGAACAATACACTTCACATTTAAAGGGACACTATAGTCACCTAAACCACTTTAGCTTAATGAAGCAGTTTGGGTGTATAGGTCATGTCCCAGCAGTTTCAAGGCTCAATTCTCTAACATTTAGGAGTTAAATCACTTTTGTTTCTGTTTATGCAGCCAGAGCCACACCTCCCCTGGCTGTGACTGACACAGCCTGCATGAAAACAAAATAGTTTCATTTTCAATCACTTTTCATTTTCAATGTCACTTACTTTGAACGTTTTCATCTCCTGCTCTGAATAAAACAAAATTTGCAATAAAGGAAGTTTAAAAAATAAATAACTCTTTACAGGAAGTGTTTAGGAAGGCTGTGTAGAGAGGTGTGACAAGGGCTGCATAAACAAAGTGATTTAACTCCTAAATAGCAGAGAATTGAGCTTGAGACTGCAGGGGCATGATCTATACACCAAAACTGCTTCATTAAACTAAAGTGGTTTTCGTGACTATAGTGTCCCTTTAAATACAGTAGATACAGCACAGGTCAGCACTACTTATTGGTGTGTTGGGCAGAAGAATGAGTGCAGTCTGATGTATATAATTGTATTATAAGTCATTAAAGAATAATGTTGTTTTGCTACCATAGTATCTTTAAGTTTTAATGTGCAGAAAGATGTTTTACACTGAGGTAGTCTGCAGGTCCCAAATGTATCCAGGTGATTACTATTAACTAAAGCAGTTTATGCATGAATAACCATGGCAATAGCTGAAAAAAGGGATAATAGACAATTTTTTCACAGGAACATGACTTTCTAAAATGTTTGCTCACTGAAAAGCTGCAAGACAACATAACAGATCATTTAAAGAACAAGCACATAGCCATTGTATTAGACAGGATGGCGGGGCTCGGAACAGTATTATTATATTATTTATATAGTGCCATCAGATTCTGTAGCGCTGTACAATGGGATCCTGTGCAGTTAGATTGAGTTCCACGTTCAATTCCTGGTATACTAAACTCTACTCTTTTATTCTTTAGTGATCAATGTAATAGCCATATCTGGTAAATAATATCTAGACCCCAGTATATATTAAAAAAAATAAAAGCAAAAGCTGAAAGCTTACATATTTTGATACTATATGGAGTTCCTGAAACTAGATAAAAACCCCTAGAGACAAGACAGATGTACCATATATATTCTAGTATAAGACGAGTTTTTCAGCACATTTTTGTGCTGAAACCCCCCACTCGTCTTATACTCGAGTCAATGTCTGTATTATGGAAACTTACATTGCCATAATACAGACCAGGACCGCCGGGCTCATTACAAGCCTGGCGGTCCAGTGAATGGGCTGTGCAGGAGGGGGGCTGGCAGAGAGCTGTTACTTACCTTTCTTGCAGCTCCTGTCAGCTCCCTTCTCTCTCCTCCGGTTTGGTCAGCTCCACTGTAAGTCTCGCGAGAGCCGCGGGGAACGCTCCGCGCGGCCGCGACACTTACAGTTGAGGAGAAGGGAGCTGACCAGAACGGAGGAGAGAGCAGGGAGCTGACAGGAGCTGCAGGAAAGGTAAGTAACAGCTCTCTGCCAGCCCCCCTCCTGCACAGCCCATTCACTGGACCACCAGGGAATGAGGGCCCCCCTCCCTGGACAGCTAACAAGCAGGGAGGGGGGACGAAAATAAATATAAATAAAAAATAAAATAATGTATTTTAAAAAATTATATATATATAATTTTTTAAAATACATTATTTTATTTTTTATTTATAATAATTTATAATAATTTATAATAATTTTTAAAAATATTGAAAATGCCCCCCACCCCCCACCAAGGCTCTGCATCACATACACACACACAAACACTGCACTCACACACACACACAGCTCACACACACTGCACTCACACACACACACAGCTCACACACACTGCACACTCACACACTACACACTGCACACTCACACACACACACTGCACACTCACACACACACACTGCACACTCACACACACACACTGCACACTCACACACACACACTGCACTCACACACACACACTGCACTCACACACACACACTGCACATAAATATTCAAATAATATAATTTTTTAGGGATCTAATTTTATTTAGAAATTTACCAGTAGCTGCTGCATTTTCTACCCTAGTCTTATACTCGAGTCAATAAGTTTTCCCATTTTTGTGGGGTAAAATTAGGGGGATCGACTTATACTCGAGTATATACGGTAAATTGATTCATGCATACATTAGAATTTTCTTTGGCAATATGCAGATTGTCACAAGGGCATGATTAAGCAAAAGGTCAGGAAGAATGAGCCTTCACCAGGACTGCATATCAAGATAAAAAAGATTTTTCAGAACGGATTAAACAAAAAAAAATAAAAAATTCAGCTATGGATATTTTTACTAACCTGGGATGGATGGATGGATGCACATATGAGAAATAGATGCAAGACACTGTAGAGATGAGTGCTCTGTGATGCAGTGTTATAGTGCCGTATAGAATGTTAAACACAATAAGCTGGAATGATCTACTGAACTTACCAGTCTATCAAGTAGATATCTGGTGTCAGGTTGTTTTTCTTGAAGTGTGCAAATAACCTCGGAAGATTTTCTTCAAAAAATACTTCAAACGCTGCGAAGTAGGTTAGCATCTAAAAGCAAGGACATATATCTAATTAATATCTTAATAAAGCTTGGTGTTGATAAATAAAAAACAGTGAGAAATATATTTAGTAAAGACGCTATTTCTAATATTGGGCATGGACCATTCTGATATTATTTTTGCATTTGCGTAGGTATGATCTGTAATTATGGGGAAAAGGGGCAACACTGCAACTCATTAATTCTCGTATTGAAACCTTTTGCATACTGCAGAGAATACCATAAGATGTCAGATAATTATACAGAAACATATGATACATTCTGTGCCTATATCCAGCAGCAGATGTCATGATTATTTTATTATTTATATAGCGCCATCAGATTCTATAGCGCTGTACAATGGGTGGACTAGCAGACATGTAATTGTAACCAGACAACTGGACACACAGGAACAGAGAAGTGGATGGCCCTGCTCAATGAGCTTACATTCTAGAGGAACATTGATGTTCCAAAAAAAGAAAAAAAGTTAGAATTTTCTAACATTAGTTCTGGTAGATCAGAATTGTTCTAAGAGCATGGAACGTGCATGTGATACTAAATCAAGACAGCCTGTCCAGTGGGATGGTACTCATTGTGAAGCAGCGTCTCCAAATCAGAAGGGATTTGCATGGTCTAGGAATTCAGCAATGGACTAGGACAGGGGTAGGCAACCTTTTAGCAGCACTGTGCCGAAATAAGATTGTGATGTCCCGTAGCGTGCCGGTTCTATTTATTTAAATTGAGGTGGGTATGCTGCTTGTGTTATTTTTACTGTTATTGCTTTGTATCATTGTATTTGTGTGTATATGAGCTATTATATTGTATATGTTCATTAGTAGTTTATGGTATCGTGTATGATACATATGTATGTCGGCTGTGTATGGGGGCTGCTTGTGGAATTGTGTGTGGATGGATATTTCACATTGTGTGTTTGGTAGTGTGTGGGGGCTGTTTGGGGTATTGCATGTGTGAGGCTGCATGTGGGGTTATGTGCATGTATGTGGATTGTTATTGGTGTTACATTTGTGCAGATTGTGCGTGTGGGCTGTTCATATTATTTGTATGAGGAGAGGGTTATTCTGCATTTCTGTGTATATGGAGCAGTGTGAGTGGCTTCCCTGGGTTCCAGTGGGAACCAGGCTGGAAAGGTACAGGTCAAGGACAGGAGCTGCAACAGCAGCTGCAGGCTGCTCTACTCCAGTGCCGATTCCCATTTACAAGTGCTGAGAGGAAGTGATCTGGGATCAGTTCCTCTATGTGCTGCAATGCATAAATTGAGGATTTTCCTTCACCACCTTTTCGTGTTAGCAGATATCTGGAGTTTCACTGGGACTTCTAATAGGACAGAGCCTGTTGGCTCTAGCAACCTTGAGTGCCGTTCAAAAACACCTTGAGTGCCGTGCATGGCACACGTGCCATAGGTTGCCTACCCCAGGACTAGGATTTCAATAAATAAATACTTACAAGGCCATGATCAACTCGAAAAAATGCCATCTGACATGGTTTATTCAGAAGGTTTGAAAAAGCAATAAAGGCATCGGGAGTATCTAAATTCAAGATCAATACAGCAGCGATAAAAGACATTCCTTGCACCTGTTAATAATAAAAATTAAAAAAAACACAATAAGCCAGTCATAGGAGAAAGAATACTTATGACAGTAGAAGTCACTAGTCACTTACAGCTGAAGTAAATCATTTAGAATGTATTTTATTTAAAGTTATTTCTACAAGTTTTTCATTTTTTTAAGCCAGAAGGTTATTTGGCTCTATTATACGAATGGCACAAATGTTGTTTAAGATATGTTAAACTTGTGTTACATTTAGTCTCAATTGATGTGTAAGTGTATTTGGAGTTTGTATCAATTTTCCATTTTTCTACTTTTTGAATATTTAACAAGAATTTTTCTTTGAGATAAAACTGAAGAAAAATTTATTGTTTCTGCAGCAAATTGTAGTTTTCTAATACCAACAAAATTCAATTCTATAAACATAGGTAAGATCTGAAAAAGAATACAGTCACCTACATCATTCAGACAACAGCAATACTAGAAGATACTTTGATATCTGATTTGCTATCTGAAGTCGTAAGGAGAGACCCAAATGTTGACTATAGCTCCGGATGCTGAGAAAGCATTTCACCTTAGTCTATATGGAGCCTATTATTATTATTATTTAAAAATGCCAATAAATTCAGTCTAGGAAGGGCATCCTGTGATAATTTGGATCTACTGAATTTATGAAGCAATACCTCCCTGATTTAAACACAACCCTCAATGCCACAAACCAAGGATCCATAGTCTTGAAGAAGACAGGGATGTCCTTTACTACAATTGATGCAAATACCATCAACAGAACCAGTTATAGTAGTAATTATGGCAAACACACATCTAAGGCATCAACAATGTACAAAAACACAAATGCCATGACGTTGCCTTAAGTGCTGAGGTTTCTAAATTACAAGCAACACCTTGACTGGTTTAATCCCTCAATGATCACATGACTGTCTATGGCTATAATCATGCATTGCAGGACTTTTATGACCATTGACTGCACAGACCATGAGTTATTAAAGTACCAGCAGGTCCCCTAATGTTAATAAGGAGCCCAAGGTATTAAATACCTGAGATGGGGTCACTGTTGGTGACTAGCTATGTGCAGTGTAATATTGCCTTATGCAGGCATATAGGGTATCAAAAGAAAACCCTATTTCTTGTTTAAAAAAAAAAAATACATATAATATGTATGGGTGCACTTAAACAGAAAGGGTGAAATTGTGGTAGAATGAATGCATGGCAAAAGTGCCAAAGAGACCTTGGTGTATATATAAAGTTGAAAATATGCATTTAAAATTGTATAACAATATTAGAAAAAAAATACTTACATAACCAACATCTGGTCTGTAACACGTGTAAGCCCCTAAAATACTGTGCAACATGTCATGATAAGGGCCACCCTGGAATAAAGCAGCACAAAATTAAAAAAAAAAATGTTCATTTTATGTAATGTCTATTTAATCTATGGAGTTACAGATTATGGTGGTCACCTGACCGGACTCGCCCATAATTTACACCTAGTACCTGGCTACACATTACAATTCTCTTTGGCAAAATGTCTTGTTTTGCCATGATCCCTGTTAAATAGTCTGGTTTTCATGGGACAGTTAGGGAGAGAAAAATCTGTACATTAAGTTATTCATTTCAGGGAAAAAAAATGTTAATGTACCAAATTGTCATTTATACTTGGGAGGGGAGGGGAGGGGAGTGGAGTGGAGGGAAATGACAAGACCAAAAAAAAAAAAATTACAAACCCCCAAAAAATTGGCAACAGACCATGAAAATTTAATAAAACGCATTGTCAGTGCTCAGACCCAATTATTACTGTAGTATAACCAGTGTCTTAAGCGGTTGGAGTTCTTGTGCTTACAGTGTTCCTTTAAGTGACTCCTTAGAACACTTTTCTGTCCTAGTAGTTTTGGGTGATGGTGCCATAGGCCATGCACCAAGCATTATTTTCAAAGGGAGCTAAACTAAACAGCGGAACTCGGAGCGTTGAGATAAATGCAATGCATACCTTCTGAAAAATACACAGACTGGGGAACGTTCTGGAAATGTCCAATTTAATTAGCTCTAAACTGGCTTCTCTGTCTGCTGCAGGCAATCCTGAATCTGCAGGGAAAAACAAAAAAAAGGATTAATTCCCTGTTGATACATAGGAGAAAAAAAAAAAAATTCCATAAAAAAAAAAAAAAGTTTAGATCATTTCCCTGTGTACTACCTTAACTTAAAAGATTAAAAAAAAAAATAAAGAAAGAAATTTTTATAATATATATATATATATATATATATATAATATATTTCATGCAATAATAAAATATATTTTCTCAGGATGTGCTTTTTTTCTTTAATAATAATGGTATGAAAAATTAAACATTACCTGCACCATTCACGATTGGCATAATACAAGTTATATTATTGGCAGATTATAGTAAATATTTTATGATCGCAATCATGTTTGCAATGACGCTTTAAGAATAAAATGTAACGTCCCGTCACATTGATGATCGCACAGAGAATAAAAACTTGTTTTGGATAGATTTCCCAAAAGCCAAACACTTCTTCCCCTGCACAATCTGGAAGGAGCAGATTGTCTTGGTTTTCAAGTTTAATTTAAATCCAGGGGGCAGAATGTATTCAAAACCAAAATTGTGTAGTAATAATCTACAGCTGTCACATGCCACAATTTGTAAGAACAGATTTTTGTCAATTATATGATCCTGGAAGTCTGTATTTTTTAACGTAGGCAATAGGGTTGGAACAAAAATTTTCAATATAAACCCAATATATAATTTTCTCTACACAAGTTCATTATAAAAAAAGGTTAACGAAAATACACATCCGTGCACTCCTATTGACATCATTACATCCATACGGGTTCTCAATTTAAAGACCACTATAGTCACCTACACCACTTTATCTCAATCAATTGGTCTGGGTGCAGCGTCCCTGTCCTTTTTACATTGCAGGGTTAGGGTCGCCTCTAGTGGCTATAATACTGACAGCCACTAGAGGCGCTGCCATGGGACTGACCGAGTACAATGGTCACGTGAAACAAACGCTGAAAGTAAAGCAATTAATTCACTTACCACTCATGCAAGTCAGGATCCCAATGCTCCTCTGATGACTGGGTATAGCTAGAGGGGGCCATAGCTCCATCATCACATTGTAGTAGGTAATTAGGTAACTTATTTTATTTTTATGGCACACTGAGGGAGGTGGGGTGGAGGGCAGAAGATATTGTCAAAGTTATGGTAACTGCTTGGAAGGCACAGTGGACACACATAACAGAAGATGCCATTGAGTATAACACATGCCACATCTGTTGCATCTTGCCCATAATCCCATGCTCAATATATCAAAACTCTTTTAGACTCCAATAAAATCCAGGAGTTTAGAACTCCAGGTCATAAAAGTCCATGCCCAGGCGGATAGCAATTTTGTGAATAAACCTATAGCCTCAGCCAAGTGACTTTGGCTCCTTCACAGATAGTTGTGAAGAAAATTGTAGAAAAGGCAGTAATTTGTGCACTAGGTACCACTCTGTACAACCTACTGTAATATCAGTGTAAGGGGTTTAATTTTTTTTGGTGTGAGATGAGGTTTGTAAGGACAGGGTGACAAATGACCTCCAGAGATTTTGTTAATTTTTTTTTTTTTTGCTGCCAGAAAAGACAAATGGTCAGTTAATAATTACACCATAATCCTTACAATGGGATTCTGATTTTGGATACTGGATAGGTTTCTTTTTTTTCCTGTTATTTTATTCATTGCACACAACAAAAAAATAACTCAAGTTAAACTAATCACAGCCAAAGCGTAATATGATGGAGAAAGATCAGAGTAATGTGCAAAAAAGAATAATCAGCAACAATGCTGCATAATTGTGTAACAAAAACACATTTTATATTCTTTGATTAAGGGATTAACACAGCAAAATACAGTATTATACAGATGGATTAATGCTGCGAACACTCATGACTTATGCAATGGCAAGGCAGAAAAGCAAGTCAATTCATATATCACATAAAAACCACAAAACACACCTTCATTTTCCATTTCAGATCCTCCCATGCTTAGAGATTTCCACCGGTCTTTTGCTCGAGATAAGCAAATATCATACAGCTCTAGAAACAGAAATGCCCATAATCAAAAACAGGCTGATCACATATCCCATAATAAAAACATTTTTATTAGGAATGCAGTTAAGAAAAGGAGTGCCTGGTACACATACACCAGTGTGAACTATTTTTAAGCAAACGTGTAGAATGTTGTAAAATCCATCTGATGTCCCATGGGTTTGGTCTCTTGCCTAGATGAAAAGTTTCCAACCCAGTCCCACGGCTTATCAGCAGTCCAGAATTTATGCATTTGTTTTTCAAACATATGCTAAACGGGATACTGACAAAACCAGGACAACTGTGCCTTAATGACTAGGTTGGGAACCCCCGATTTAGCTTTCTAGTGAAACAACCTGGGAAACACAGAATTCAGGTCATTTGGATGAGCTAGAGAGGATAGTTGGGGTAGTTGTTTGGTATGGTACAACCATTTCCAAAACGCATGGAGGGTGTGGAGATAATGTTAAGGGAGACAAACCACTGTTTGAGTGTGTGCTGATACATTATAATTAAGATATTCTGCAATTTGTGAATTGTTATAGCTTCAAAATTTAAGGCCCAAGAGGAATTGGAAACGTAACGGATTTGGAGAAAATGTACAGACAAGTCTTACTTTAGTAAATAAACCTGTACTATTTCAGCATTGTAACAGGCACGTTCTCCAAACTCACCGTGGGTGATATTTAATTCATTGCCTATCGCCAGACTCCAGACTTTCCCTCTCACGCTGGGAGGTATCCCCTGCCACCACATCTCCCGGACTTTACGAGAGCAAGACCTGAAAGAGAGGGAATCAAACAGAACTTTAGAAAATGTTTATCTCAATGGAGGTTATTATCAAGGTAAAGACTAAGGTACAACCTCTAATTTTTTACTCTTCAAACACACAGCACACATGCAATACAGGTTCCAACGAGGAAGGATAAAGTTTGGAATATAGAACTTATTATAACATTGGTTCTGGTTTAAACAACTCCCATCATAAGATAGTTTAATCCTTGTAAACTGGACACAAATACAGATGGCAATCTTCTTTAAAATTGTCAAATAGATTAAGGCACCAGGCAATAAAAAGTAAAATATATAATAATAAAATCCTTTTATCACACATAATAAAAGCCATGGTGAAATCTGATCATATCAGACAACTGCTTGAATTCTCTCCATATATCACTTGTGGGCATGGACACTAAAATGTATGAAAATTAATTACCCAGCAGGCTAAATTCTACACGTTAACATTTGCATGCTTCACAAATGTACAAAACGCACAAGATTAATTAAATTTGAAGACATCTAAACACATGTGCTGCAATACAAAGTAACAGAATGACAAATGGAAACAAAAAGTAAAGGTGTTGGCTCAAGAAGCTGGTTAAAGGAGGTGAGGAATGGTTTGACAGATTACTCTGGTGGATGTCAGGCTACGTCACACACCATAACCATAACTACAATGGGCCGTAGTGGTGATGGAGCTTGGAGTGTTCCTTTAAGATCACTGATGTTTACTCACGTGGTTTCCCAGTTGGGCAGGATTTCATTGTTCCAGGTTAATGCAGCGTTCCCAATGCTCTCCTCCAACTTACACCTTTCTTGCAGTTGCTTTTTTCTCCTTTGAGCTTCTTTGAATTCTGCATGGATACAAATATGACAGTGAACCGGTCTACAACATAAATGCTTAGCAGCATCAAAATTGACAAAAGCTTGCAATGGTTGTAGTTTGTGCTAATAATTTACAGTTATTTGCTTTAAATGTTAGACGCCATTTTACCACGGCAGCATAGTGTGAGACATAACACCAATACTGCTTGTACCTTCAAAGGATTTCAAGACAAATCTACTCTCATTAATAGAAAAGGGCAAAATAACAAAATGTTCATTGAAGCCAAGCGAAAAAATGCAATACAAATGTATATTGCTAGCACATAATACACACTAAAAACTCACATAACCGTGAGTTCATTTATAGAAAATAGCATATCTTAGCGTTCTAGAATAGTCCATAAGTGTGCATGAAACAAAGACTTTTACATCCCATATTTTTTCACATTAAAAACACCCCCCAAAACAACCAAACACAGCAAAAACAAAACAAACAAAGGCATTATCTGTGGGTTTCACTCAAGTTTGTAGAAAACAGGAAGAACCGCACTCTATCACTACAGGTAATCCACAAGGTAATGCCAATGTGGTTTGTGTGTATCGACTTCCTCTAACATTAGGTGGTTTTGTGGAACACACGTTCCACAAAACCACAACACATTAATCACAACAGGAATACAAAGAGGAATAGAAAAGGCTGTTTTGGCAGTAAAATACACTTCTAGAACCAACATACACTGCTTACAGAAAATGGTGGGGAGAACCCAGAGTGTCCCCCACCCAATAAAAAGCAAGATTACTACCTACGTTCATAAGTTTTGTTTTTATTCCGCTCAATTTCTATTTAAACCAAATTTTGGTGTATTAGGACAGGTACACTCTCTATAGGCGTAACTGCACAACATCAATGCCAATGGAAAAAATTAAATAAATAAACTTTGTTTTCACTTTCTAGAACCGAACTGATAGCATAGCCGACTTAGAACTTTTCCAGTTAGACTTTATTCATTTTTATTTATCTCGAGTTTGAAATTAACTTTATATTCAATCTTGATTCTCACTTTAGTGAATAACATTGTGGGTCTTACTCCCTTTTATAGTCTAGTCCTACAGAACACGTTGTGAACGAAAGCATGGAATTGTGCTGGAGGGAATCTATACATCTCCCCAGATATTGCAAGGTTCCTACTTTCGTGTAATTTGCCCCAGGGAAATGTGTTATGTTAAAATGTATATCGCACTTTAAATAGGTCTATGTTTGGGCTCTGGGGTGGAGCACTTGGAGAGTAGGGTGGGCCAGTGCTCAACTCCACATTTTGGTAGTTGATTGGAACCTACAGGTGAGAATTCCAGTTCCAGAGTTTCAATCCTAATTTACCTCACCTGAAAAGGATTTTTAATTACAGGTGCTATTAAGTACTCCCCTGCCGAAGGAGGAGAGAGATTGTGTTTGATTTATGTGAGTGGAAACAGAGAGCTGAAAACCCTGAAACAGTAAGGTGGTTGTTTATGTTGGGAAATGGACAAGCCATCCAACCCAGTTAGCTAATTATTTTGTATAGTTAGTGCTCAGAAGAGCAAAGATTTTGTTTTATATATTTTGTTACAACCTATACCTTACTGTGCATTTATTTTGGAACCACAATAAAAAGAGCAAGTCCTTTTAACTCACCCAGCGTGTGAAGTGTCTCTAAAGCATGAAAAGACTGTGTGTAACACCCCAATCCCAGGACAAGGTACCAAGGGAAAGGAGTATTTTTGTCACAACGTATTAAAAGCACAAAATGGAATTCCTCTACGGTTATTCTAAGAGCTGCAAAAGAAAGAGGATTATGACAAAGTTTAGGGCGACAACATTATATGACCGGTATACAAAATAGCACGACACTTTAGTAAAAGTGTTTGACCATAAGGACAAAGTGGACCGATTCTTTCCTCAATTCTTTTCAAGAACACTAAAAACGTATCTTTAAACCAGATTACCATGAGAATTATTCCTTGCTAAATTAAAGTAAATACATATTAATACATTCACGTGTCTCTGACTGTGTCAGAGGTACCACATGTGGCACAGATTGAGATATGCTGAACTATGCACAAAGGTGCGGCAGTCAAAATGTTAAAGTAAACATGTTATTCACACGTCGTACGCTGTAGGTATAAATGCATTCCACAAACTGTGCTGGTGAAATCCCCAGCCAGTGTATAAAATAAAAGATATACTTCCCTGATTGTTACCTGCAGCCTACAGAATAGAACAGACATGCAAAAGGTGTGTTAGCATACCTTTATGGTAGCCACCCAGGGCAGGCCTTTGGCTCAAACAAACCTTTCTCAACGCTCACACATCAGTGAACCCCTCGAGCTTTAAAGGTACAAGGCACTATGTGACCAGAAGTGAAATACTAATCATGAATTACATAAATGCAACAGACAAAATAAAATTCTCTTGCACAGCTACTAGATAATAACCATTATGAAATCTATATGAATGTAGAAGAAAACTGCATTTCCAAAGCTACCAGGAGATTTCCTCTACAAAGCAGAAGCCGTGGACTGTATGGTACTACTATACATGCTGCTGTCCTGCTAATCCCCACACTCCCTTGACAATTGGTGTTGTCAGGATTACAGAATGATCCAGCACATAGAATTCTGTAACACAGAGGACTGATAGGTAACGTATACCGGACCTTAGAATGGCCGGACTAACGTACCAAAGAATAGTCAGGAATAGCCGAGGTCGGGGGACACAGAAAGATACACAACGATAAGGAAAAGCCAAGGGTCAGGGATGCCAGAAAAAAGGGAATTCAAAATCAATGCCAAAGTCAAAATACCAGAATAACCAGAATCAATAACGCGCTCTCGGACAACCACAAGGGAAACCACGACAGGGCACAGAGCAAGAGGAGAACTGGGCCTAAATACCCCGCCTGTGGATCTGATTGGTTGTAACCGGCCTTTGACCCCAAAGGCAGTTACCAGGTTCCTATTTGCATGATTGGTGCTCGGCACAACTTTTACTGTCAGGAGAGTAAATGCCAGATGAATATGTGACAGGTGCACCCTAACCTAGAGTTTTGGGATAAGCCCACATAATTTGTGTAAGGTAATCATACTTGCACGACCCATAGACAGTCTTTGCGGCTATATAAAGCAGTGAAGCCCAGCAAGGATTACAAAATAAGTAATAAATCAAATTAAAAAAAAAACTTTAAGTACAAAATAATTTCACACATACTTTGCATTGCAAAATAGTAAGATACAATTTAAGCCATATTAAAGAAAACAGATTTTAATGAAAGATATTTGATTATGTGGAAGCATGGGAAATCTAAAAAGTTATGGATTTAAATGGATGTTTCCTTTTAGGACACTCTTGACAATAGCTAAGCTACAACATCACAACAAACAGTGCTGGTAGACTCTTCCAGACATCACAAATACATATGACTTCTCAACTGGCTGAAGGCATTTTAGAAAGGGTATTTTGTTTGTACAGTCCCACAAATTTCCAGTTAAACAGTTTCTGTATGAGTGACAAACACACAGGGAATATCTGTCGTTAAAGGGACACTATAGTTACCAGAACCACTATATCTTAATGCAATGGTTCTGGTGTTTTTGGCATGTCCCTGCAGGCTGAGCACTGTAAACCCTGCCTTGTGAGAAAAGGGTTTACATTGCTGCCTAGTAGCAGCCACTCAGTCGTCCACTAAAGGTGCTGGCTAGTCCTAGAGGTGCTTCCTGGACTGGCATTGAGCATCTCCACACTCTACCTAGAGATGCTGAACGCTCCACATGTGGAGCCAACCGCGGAGAGAGTGGTGCGGTGTGGGGGAAAAAATGTATAATTTAAAACCCCATTATACTGCGATCTAAGGGAGCAGGGAACTTAAATAATTTAACATTTACAGTGCCAGCAATACATGTTTGTATTCCTGACACTATAGTGTTCCTTTAATTGAAGAATATAAATTTATTGATTAAAATTCTGGGATCTTGCTGTACAGGAAATGTGATCCCTATTTTCAGACTATAACAGATAATGAAGTGGGATTAAATTCTATCTTCTGTGATATAGGTCCCTCGAGAGAAAGGCTCAGAGAGCGTCAATAAAAGCATTAACAAAATTCTAATTGCCTTTCAGTGTGCTCTGTATGGTCCCATAAGGCATCTATACTGCCAAAATTTGATCCGACTCAAAGGGCACCTCAATTTGTTTTTCCAAGCAAGATGTCTAAGAGCTAATTTACCTCTAATATAAGTTAAGCATCATTTAATGGTTTTAGGCATCATTTAATTGGCTTCCGGTTAAGTGCCAGCGCACAAAACTCAAAACACTAGTTCACTGGTATGATGGCCCCCCTTTTAATCCCCAGTGGATGCATTTTAAAATAAAGAAATAAAAAGATATATATATATATATATATATATATATATATATATATAGATAGATATATATATATATATATTATATATATTTTTTTTATGAGATGATATATATTTTTTGGTATTGATTTATTCTGTTATACATGCATAAGAATGATGTAGGAGTAGAGTACGAGAGACCCTAGTAGTTTAGCCACCATCTCTTCATATCCTGTCTGTGTTTCTGGGCTTCTTCAGCCGATTTTGCTGGAAGATTCCTGAAAAGGTTAAGAAGATTCTACTGTTAGGAGATTGCTAAAATTCTATAGGATGTTCATGTTTGACGGCAAAAAAAATTAAATAAATCACAAGTATTCTTGTTTTTGAACCATCGGAAATCTTTTACAGCACCAATGTTCAATAGGTATGCCCCCCCCCCCCCGGCAGTTTTAGAACCAAGTCTTGCCACACAACATTAATATCTTGCAGTTCAATGCCAGACAGTTCACAAATTGTTGTGATGGTCATTTATTTTAATATTATCACCTCTTATTACATTTTACTAGAAAATTTCAACTTTGTAACATGCACAAAGGACTGAAAAGTATACACCGGTTACATGCAAAAGTTAAAAAAAAAATTATTAAAAATATAACATTATATCCAAAGATTTAATTTAATTTTTTTTTTTTTTTTTTTAAAGAGCCTCTGACCCTTCTTTATTCAGTGTTATAACATCATGTCCACTGGGCTATTGTCTCGGTTTATAAATGTACAGACTGACTGCAAACAGATTTGAGAGTTAGGATAAAGGACAAGTCTATTTTGCAAAGAGTAAGCAGAATTCAATCGAGCGGAAGAAGGCTAATCTACCATTACAATGCCGCACTTCAAATTACAGACACGAACACAAAAGTAGAAAAAAGTCAAATAGATTTGTTAGTCCCTTTGCAGCATAGGGTCCCGCAGTGCAGATCATGATATGTTTGCAGCAAACGTGTGATCGTATGCCTTCTATGATCTGTCACGCATGAGGTAGCACAGCAGTTATACACGGATTCCGTGGAGGAACTAATGTAGAGAGGGCCCTGGTGTAAGAAATAATAGTGTACCCCCTTCTGGCATATGAGTGGCCAGGGGTAGCTCCCTATCAGTCGTACAACTCCCATGATCGTATGCCAGTTGGCGATATACCAATGTCACATCCATGTAGGGTTGTATTTGTGTGTTTGAATGCAGCATGTTTTTGGATAAAGCATGTGCGCATGTAGGGATGTATTTGTATGTGCTGTTGCCATTGGAACGCATACTTGTGTGTAGTGCTTGCGTTTAAATGCAGGCATGCTTTTGTGTGTACGGTGTTGGTGTTTGCATATAATTTTAGCATTTTATTACAAGGCTGTGTTTGTATGTAGCGTTGCCTTATAAATGCGGGTGTACATTTGTATGTAGTATAGGTGTTTGCATTCAATTTTGACACATGTGTGCGCGCGCACACACACACACACACACGTCATAATTTTTAGATCTGCAGCCACTTTTCTGTTAGCATATTTTTTGTGTGTCGGAGAGTAGGCTCTTTCCTTGTTCTCCACCCCACCCCACGAGCCGCCACCTTCTCCTCCTCCTCTCTCTATAAGAAAGTGGGAGGATGTAATTGGCTCTTACTGACGCACAGGCTGCCAATGTGCAAGGGGCCCCTGTTCAGCAATACCCTAAGTGTCTAAGTGTATTAGCCACCAGATGGGCTGCTCCACTGTGCAGACTTTTGTTCTGCTGCTGCACTGATCAGCCACAACATTAAAAACCACCTGCCCAATATCATGTAGGTTCCCCTCATGCTGCTAAAACAGATGATGCCTCAAAGCATTGACTCCACTAGACCTCTGTATGTGTCCTGTGGCACCTGGAAACAAGACATTAGCAGCAGATCCTTTAAGTCCTGCTAGTTGCAAGGTGGAGTCTCCATGAATCAGATTTGCTGTTCCAGCACATCCCACAGATGCTCAATCGGATGATATGGGGAATATGGAGGCCATGGCAACATCTTAAACTCTTGAAAAATTGTTCAGAAATGATTTGAGGTACATGACAAAGTGTGGCACGGTTGCATTATCCTGCTGAAAGAGGCCACTGCCATCAGTGAACACCATTGCCACAAAGGGGTATACGTGGTCTGCAACATTCTATAGTTAGAAGGAACATGTCAAAGTAACATCCACGTGAATGCCATTTACTCCGTCGGCCTGCCTTCTTCCCATAGTGCATCCTGCAGCCATCTCTTCCCCTGGTAAAATGACGCACAAGGCTACCCTCCGGATCTAAAAGAAAACCTTTTTCCAACTTTCTAGCATGGTCTGCATTAAGTTTTTCAGTAACTTGAGCTACAGTAGCACATCTGTGTAATTGGACCAGGCGAGCTAGCCTTTGCTCCCAAAGAACTTGAATAAGTCTTGGGCACCCATGATCCGTACGCCAATTCACCAGTTGTCCTTCCATGCACCACTTTTGTTGGATACTAACCACTGCATTGCGTTAACACCACACAAGAAACTTTACAATTTGGAGATGCTCTGACCCAGTCGCCTTGCCATCACTATTTGTACCCGGTCAAAAGTCACTCAGAACTTTTCACTTGCCCATTTTTCCTGCTTTTAAACACATGAAATTCAAGAACTGACTGTTCACTTGTTGCCTAATGTATGTTGTGGCGATCGGTGTACATCATGGACACCCATTCTTCTGTATGAATGAATACTTTTGTTCCGTAATACAGAAATGCCAAAAACAGATTAAGAGAATACTAAATAAAAAATAAAAAATTTTTTGAAAAACAAACAAAACAAAAAACAGAAAAGTAAGACAATGCAGATTAAAGTAAAACAAATATATATTTTTAAAGACTAAATATAAATTGCTCTGCTTTTGTGCAACGATTGAAGTAGAAAAGACCATAAAGAATAATTGTCGGTTTTCAATCAATCATTGTCTGACCCAAGATGTATGTATATGGCTAAAAGATCCTGGCAGATACTAGCGGAAGGCATTTGTTACTAATTTTGTTTTTTACATATTCATTTAAAAAAAAATCTGTTTCCTTCCAAAACGTGATGAAATGATTATTATATTAAAAATAATTTTGAGATGACTCTTGTCCTTTAACAGACGCAACATTCTTAGTACAGAGAATCCCTTTAAATTGCAGATATCCCAAGTCTCCTGGTAGATCCAGGAGACTCCCACATGTTTAAAGAGGTTCCCGGACACCTGCACACCATGTGCAATATCCCAGCAGCCCCAGAGCAGGCAGTATGGAGAGGCTGGAATGAGCTGCTGCTGCATGCTCACTCCCATCAGCCTCAGCCCAGACACCAAAAGGTAAGCCAACGGGTGGCTGCAGTGTGTGTGTGTGTGTGTATCTGAGTGTCTTTGCCAATGTATGTACATGTGTGTGTGTGTATCTGATTGTCTTTGCCAATGTATGTACATGTGTGTTTGTATCTGTGTCAATGTGTATTTCGGTGTATGTGCGAGTGCGTATGTGCGAGTGCGTATGTGCGAGTAACTGGGTGGGGGAAGAGATGCGTGTGGGGTGCAGCCACCTCCCTGAAATGAGTTTTGTCATGTTGGAATGTCTGAGATTGTAAGTTTGTGGGCAAGGTTTTTGAAAACTTAACGTACACTAAAACCACTGCAGCTCACTCTGGTGTTTCCACATAGTAAGTAGTCAAACATTTTTAGTAAGGTTTAACTTCCTACCTGGGGTCCACTGGGCACAGCTCCCCACCTCCATTACGGATGATGGAGAGCCAGTGACTGAGATAAACCCTGAACTATAGGTCATTGACCAGTTCAGCTGAGGCCCCTTGCAGACCCCTTGTAAGAAGTCAAACCGTTCTAAGCTGGCTGTAATAGTGTTTGTGCTTGGAGTATTCCTCCAAGACTTTATTTTCTCTTTAAAGTACCTTCAACTAACGGTTTCTTAAGCAACAAATATATAATTTATCAAAAAGCTAAAAGATGTATTCAGTTGCTTAAGGAACCAAAGGATTACTTAGCTCCTCTCAATTATTCCAGCACAGCAATCAACATGGCTTGTTAGGTGTTACAGCAATAGCACAGATAATATTAATAAAATTAAAAAATGGCAAATATTGTTACATACATCATCACATTTATGGTCACAATTTTTTTCATACTGTGTGTTTGCCCAGTCCTGTCTAAATGCTATTGAGGATGAATTGTGGAGCATCAGGAGATTATTGTTGCAGCTTTGGTATGTGTTTTTCCCACTCTGTGACAAGATAACAGAGCTTTGGGTCTAAACAGCACAATGAAAACAAGCAATTCCAATTCTCGTGCTGTTTAAAACAAGAAAATGGATATATTAAGATGTATATTCACAAACTAATATTGAGGAATTAACTGGTTAAATTAAATTTGGTAACAAACCCAACATGTGGTCATGTTGGGTTTGTAGCTGCCATCTGAAAGCTAGATTATAACCTGCCAATTAAAACGATGAACAAATCAATTTACTGAAATATTAAATAAATCAGCTGTCTATCTCGTGCATCATCAAACAAGAACAATGTACCCACTGTCAGTTATAGAAACATGGTATAGGAGATCTTTTTTAACCAGATAATTTGAATTCTGAAATAATTTCAATACCACAAGAAGACAGTACAAATTTTCACGTTCCAGATTCTAATAGTGATAAATCTGAAATCACCAGTGCAACATCAGCAATAGCTTGTTCTCACTATGAGCAGAGAAATTCGGGTACCGGCACAGTGTGGCATATTGAAACATAGACTGTGACGGCAGATAAGAACCATTCGGCCCATCTAGTCTGCCCAATTTTCTAAATACTTTTAATTAGTCCCTGGCCTTATCTTAAGTCTAGGATAGCATTATGCCTATCCCACTCATGCTTAGGCTCCCTCACTGTGTTAACCTCTACCACTTCAGCTGGAAGGCTATTCCATGCATCCACTACCCTCTCAGTAAAGTAATATTTCCTGATATT